AGTTTGGCTGAAGAGGGTTTAGGATAAAGGCTGCAACCCCGATCCTGGTAACAGCAGTGCACGTGGTTCTGCTTTCACACTGTGATCTGGCTCAACAGCTTCACTCACAGACCTTGGACAACCCCTTGGAGAACATTTAGGGGGCTACAGAACCAAAGGCTCCAACACCAGAGATGCCAAATGCTGACCGTCGTGCTTTGTGGTGTGCCTTTGGGTTCAGGCTGATTTTCCCTTGGAAAGGCAATCAGCACTATACAGCTCTTGCTGGTTTAACACAGTGTCTCCCACCTGGGAATGTCTCCTCAGAAGCCCAGGGTTTCCCAGCTGGAAATGCCCCCCTCCAACCCTGGCTCAGACTGACTCGTATCCAGAGGGGTTCCCATCACCCGGGTTTGGTTTCCAGAGAAGCCACAACCACTCACAATCACATCTCCGAATAAGCATGTTGATATATCCAGCCTCTGAATGAATATCTTGGCTTCCAGAGTATTTTTGACTAATATAGTACACATTGACACAAATTTTGGGAACAGAGAGGCTCATTGTTTCAGCCTGGGTAGAACACAGCGCAGCTGGTGGGCGATACATTTGAAACTAATTAAAAATTGCTCCCAGCAGACCTGCTTCTGTCCTCCCCACCAGCACAGAGGTCTCCTGGACCAGCCCTGAGAGCCATTGGACTATCTCTCTTCACAGGGGAAAGGATGTCTTCTCTCCAGGGCTGAGTTTTGGGGAACAAAGCGGCATTAGCACATTCTGATTGTGTTTAGCTCCCCTTATTTTGTAGACTGCTTCATGAAACCTGAATTTATTTATTTTTTTTCTAAAAGTATTTTCCACAACTAAATTTCACTCCCTTTTCTTCAGGCAATAAATGAATTTTGTTTACAAAGTACTTCAACAAGGCTTGAAAATTCGTTTATGGAAAATGGGCCTCAGACGTCCACGGCATTTGAAACCATGCTGAAATACGGCAATTTCAAGCACTTACCTGTCTCCCTCCTGCAAGTCTCCAAATCAAAAGTTGCCATGACAACGAAGCCCACTCTCAGTCCAGCAGAATGAATTTTATGTGACGTCATTATTAGCCAGGACCCAACAAAATTACGCAAATGAGGTCCCCAGACAGCAGGACCGCAGAAAGCCCAAACAAACAAGCAGTGTAACAACTGCTCTCTAAACTCAGCCAAGGAAGGGAAATGGCACCCAATGCCCCAGCAATAATTCTTTGAAAAGCATCCCAAATAGGCTGACCTCTGCTCTGTGCCCCTCCAAGGCTAAAGGAGGAGATCAGCTCTGCCCTGGCACAGCTGGGCTGGTTTTCCACCCTGGGAAGAGGCGCAGGTGTTCCCAGTGGGAATGCTGACTTCCCAAGAAGCTGGTTTGTGTTGTGCTGTCTACACAGAAATCCAAGAGGGAGAGGAGTTGTTGCTGTGGGTGAAATGCAGTTTCTTGTCACACTGAGCTCCCCATGGCCAGCTCTGAGCAACCTGGCCCGGTGGAAGGTGTCCCTGCCCGTGGCAGGGGGTTGGAACAAAATGATCTTTAAGGGCCCTTCCAACCCAAACCATTCTGTGACTCTGTGATAACTGTGGTCAGGGGAACCCAACCCTCTCCTCCCAGAGAGGATGGGAGTGAGGTTCTCCAATCCCGGCTGATTGAGTGTTCACACTTGAAAACAACTTTATTCTGGCAGCAGCTGTTCTCCAGAGGAGGGAGGGGGAGTCACTCAGCAATGAGTTGTTATAGATGGTTATTCAAGCATAATAAATCCTCCTTATCAATCCTGTCTCACACCCCTCATGATTTATGCTGGGTGTAATAAGGCAGTGTGAAGGCAAAGGCCAGTTTTACAGTCAAACTGGGGATTACAGCCTGGTGCAGATATTGAAAAATTCAAAGAGAAATGGGAAGAGGAGCCTGAGCAGCTTCTCTTGGATGCTGGGAGAGGGGCTGCTGAGTTATGGTCACTTCCAGTCCAGGCCTGGGCTGATGGATAGCTGAGCTGGGGTCAGACCTGAGACTTACTGCTCCCAGGCTCCTTGGACAAGAGTAAAACCTGCACATGCTGAGAAAATTGTGCATTGACTTTAGAGGAGCTTTCTGTCTATATTATATTGATTTCTTTTTTTTTTTTTAATCCTTTTCGCTGCCTGCCTTTCTTTCTTTTCTGAATAAGCTCAGCCATGCTATTTTGTCTCCTATTCTTCACAAAACCCCACGTACCTTTCCCCTTATAAACAACTTGCCACTCTGCTGGGAGCTGGGAGCCTTTGCCTTCTGATTGCCTCATTAACAGAGTTATCCCAGACCAGTTCTTCTCAGCCCTAAGACTCCACTTTATGGCACCACATCCGAAGGAGAGTTTATAGACCTGAAAGCTTGGTTTCTTTTCCCCAGCTGTGCTATCTGTGTAATAAACACACACTGCTTTTTCCTGCCAGCCTGTCCTCACTTACATCCTTACGACTATCATGGCTGCAGTTTCTCCTCTGCCAAAGCCACTGCTGCAAATGCCTCCACTGCTATTTCTGGGGGATCCCAAAGTGCTTTTACAAAGTACCTAATGCTCAGAGAGCTCCTGCAACTCCCCCCTTCTGAAGAAAATCGCCTGGTGCCTTTTTTCAGAGGTATTTTCTCTCTGCCTGCCAAACGGGTGGTCGGTACCCACCCCCACCGCTCCAGGCACATCACCTGGTCCCTCCACAGCCCACTGCTTGCTGCTGCCTTGGGGGTGGAGGAGAAGAGGACATTCTCATCCCCGTGAAGGACACTGAGGGTTCCCAGAAGGAGCTGAGCACATCCGTGCTGGGAAGCAGCCCCCCTTGCTGCTCTGGCTGCTGTTCACCCATCACCCATCTGATGAGAGTGGAAAGGGAAGGTGGTGGGGGCTTTTCCCACCTCTGATGGCAGTGAGTGTGTGCTGGTGAGGGGAAAGCACTGGGATCTCCCACAAAGCCACCGCAGCCTGCCAGGGAGGGGAAGTGTAAGGGAGAATGAATCCTGGGAAGCCACAAACCTGCCAGGCGAGGGGGTTCTCCGTGCAGTGGGGCAACCACAGAGTCTCAAACCATGTTCCTTCTGACAAGCTGCTGATGGATGAGTTCGTTCAGGAGGAATTTCAGAAGGCACTGTTTGCTTACGAGGCAGCCAGCACAGCCTGGCAAGAGCCCTGCAAATGGCAGTGGTGCAGTGTTAGACTTACTTGTCTTAGAGGAAGCAGAGAAGAGAGTTCCTCCTGCAGGAGGAACCCTTCCTTGGTGCTGGGGTTTTTGGTCATACTACCCCAAAATTGTGAGGGTCAGCTCAGGGCTGGCTTTGGGGCTCTCAGTCCATCTCATGGGGGGGTTTTTGCAGAAGAGGTTTCTGAAACAGCCACCCTTTGAAGGCAGAAGATGAACACTGTGCCCCAGGAGGCCCTTTCCTTCCCAGGGCTGTGGGGCTGAGCCATCCCCACTGGCACAGGGGAGTTATTATCTGCTCCCCAAGCCCTGGCACCTCAGGAGCCACATGGACAGTGCCGCCCTCCCCTCACCCCGAGCACTGCTGTGTTATGAGCACCTCATAATAAACCCCATCTATTGCATTCCTAAGGCACCTGTCAGCCTGAGCACTAAGTGCTGGGGTAATAAATACTTGTTCAGTTCTGCCTCTTCTCTGCCAATTCTCCCGGCTCTGCCTGTTTTCATTAGTATTTCTTTTCTGTGGACACCGCAATTACACTCTGTTCCTCTTCAGGGCCCTTGTTCTAGGTTCAAATAGAGAAGTGATAATGCAAGGAAGCATTTCACATCGCTGTTTATTTTTGTCTTCTGAGTCAGGAAGATCTTTTCAGGCTGGGACCAACTCTGTGCAGTTTTGATTGAGCAAGGACTCAGGCGGGGTGTGGGGAGGTGTGGGGGGAGTGGCGGGAGGGTTGGTGGGGAAAGCGGTGACAACTTCAGGTTCCAGCTTTTATGGTTTGCAACAGTGGTGGGCTCCTTCCCGGCCTGCCTCCTGCCGAGGTCACAAGCTCTGCTCCTTCCTCAGGAAGGCATAAGTATGCAGCCTGTGCTGCTAAGACCCATGGTAACTCTCCATCTGCCACAGCAGCTGCGAGCCCCAGCGCTCCGAACCTCGGAGGAAGAGGGAGGATTCAGCTGAATGCAGCAAATTCAAACGCCTAACTTTTTTTTTTTTTTTTTTTTGTCCAAGGTTGCAATATGTTTGGAGATATTGTCCCGCCAGCAAGTCCCTGGTGCAGCATACAGATGGTGCTCAGGGAATCCGGGGAAAAGGGGAGGGCTTTTCGTTCCTTCTCCAGGCGTGGAAAACAACTGATGCTGTCACTGGAGTTATTTTCTTCTCCTGCTATTTCCCAGTGGTAACTGAGGGGAGGGGGAAGTCTCATTGAATATGTGGGATTTGGGTAAATCATCGGTATTTTTAAACTAAAAAGTAGCCAAAAATGCAGAAAAAGGCCCGGGGGAACAGCAAACGTTTCAAGTTTAACGCAATAGGAAGAACTTCTGCGTTCCTCGCAGGTGATTTTTCTCCTGCTTTTGCATTTGAAGAGATTTACTTCATTTCAGGTCTTTCTACCCAGTGTCTAAATATAACTTCTCGTGCCTCCAAGGAGATGCAGTGGAGTGTCCAGATGAAGCCCCTACACCTTGAACTTCTTACCCAGCAGACCACCCACTGGACACATGTCACACTAAGGGACGTGTCGTGGATGTGTCTGTGCCATTAAACCTCCAATTTATTGTCTACAGGGTAGCCCCAATCAAAACTCCCTGCAGGAAAGGCCAACCCCAGTCATGCCTGGAAGACCTTTTGGTGGCCCAAAGTGACAGGGAGTGTCATTGTGGCACAGCAGGAAGGGGTTGAAGGCCCACAGCCTTCCTTGGCACAAATTCCATTTACATGTGGCTTAAGACATTTGGGCTGAGAGCCTGGTCCATGTCCTTCTCCACACCATCATTCGAGAAACATGGGGGGGAAAAAAATGACACAGAGGGTTTTTTTTCTTTTAAAATATGAATTTTTATTTGTTTTGATTGGAGTTCGAGAGAGTGGGTAGAGTGGAAAAGCGGAGTGATTTAATTCAGTGAAGAGGTCTAGTCCCACCCTGTGTGTTAGATCAGGAGGTTAGCAGGTGTCAGAAGAGTCCTCCTCCTCCACTCAGCTTGCTGATCTTTGTCATGTAGTTCTTGTTTCTGATGTTTTTCTAATCTCTCTTCAGAACTTCACTGTAATTTTTTGAGGCATTTTTCTGTTGCTTTAACTTAGTGAAAAAGCTAAAAGCTGAAAAAAGTGGCAGGACTCAAAATCCTGCCAATTAGAATGGGCAATTTTTATTTTTTTTTCTTTCCAGCAAAGGTTGAAAAATACGGTTCAAAAATACAAACAGGCATTGAACATTGCACCAAAAAGCATCTGAAACACAAATCTCAGAAAGAAAGAGAGAGAAATAGAGAGAAGAAAGGTCACAGTTTCCATGAGAAATCCCTTAAGAAAGTGGCTACCAGCTAGTCAATAATGAAAATAAAGTCAACAAAAAATTTTAAAAATGCCTTTTTTTTTTTTTCCCCCTAGTTGTTAATTATTTACAGATGTAATAACAGGATTGTCATGCATTAAACTGCTGCTAGCTAGATCCTTTCTCATAGTGGAGTAAAGAGAGTCTCACAAGATGGAAAACAAAGCAGAGGATGTTCTGGGGCACAGGCTGAACCAGAGGCAGTGGAAATGGGAGTGTTCTCTGTGAGTTGCTGGGGTGAGCTCCTTCCCAGGATGGGCTGCCCTAGCATGGTGCTAATGCCACTTCCCACACCCTGGGCACCAGGGCTGCAGCTACAGGAGCAGCTGGTGGCCTCACCTTCGGAGAGGACATTTGCCTGCAGCTACCCCCAGGTCAGTTGACAGTGAAAAATCTAGCTGATGAAGGGATACTTGTGGCCACCTGACTAGGTTGGGTGGGCTGAGAAACTCCCTCGTGGCAGTGGGGAGGAGCCCTTCCACCCTAAATGCAGCCTGGCAAAGGCAGTGTGGCAGTGACTCAGGTTTCCCAACTCTGCCCCTACTTTTTGTGGTTGCCAAAATCAAGTGGTTCAATATATGATTGCTGTTACATTTGCTGGGTGCCCTACAAAAAGACAGGAGGTATAGACAGACTTTTCAGGGGAAACAGAGTGCTGCTAGCAGTGTAACACGAGCCAATGGTCTCATCAAGCTGACAGGTCCTTCAAGCAACACTGAAGAGAAGAGCCAAGAGCCTTCAAAGACTGTGGGAGCATCCTGGCTCACGCAGCAAACCTGGGACCAGGCTTCCCCCTCTAGGCAGATGGGATTGTTGAAGTTTTGTGCAGAAGGGATCTGCACTGGGACAGTGGGAATAGGACAGAGCAGCCAGAACATCATGTTTTGTCCTAAAGCTTCATGAGCGAAAACCAGCATAAATGCTGGTTGGTGGTGAAGGATGACAGGTCCAGTGCTGGGACTAATCCAAGCCTAAGGCTCTCTGCTGGCTAAAGCAGCACAGACTCCAGGGGTGGGAGGCAGGCATGGACCCAGAGCGAGAAGCAGCTGTGGGTGGTGCCATCCTTCATTCTCCCGGCTGGGACACCACAAGGCACAGGCTGACCACGACAGCCTCTCTCCAGCAGCAGGGAGGGGAGAGAGGAGCCACCAGTGCAGCATCACTGCCTAATGTTTCCTCTAAGCAAGGTGTGAGGCAGGGGTGACATGAAGGGAGCAGACAATGGGTACCACTGCCAGGGGCTGCTCGCTCACCATGGCCCAGTGCTTGGGGGCTGCCCAGCACCTGCCCGTGGCCCTGCTTGTGCTGAGATCAGGTACAGACACAGCAGAAGCAAAGGCCTGGGCTTCTACTGACCCCTCCCACCATCAGCACATGTCCAGGCATCAGCCCATCCCACCTGGATGAGCAGCAAGCAGTGGCCAAGCGCCAGCACTTGCCTGTGCTCTGCAGAAGAGATGAAGTGCAGCCTCTTCCTTTGGTGTTCCTCTGGCCAGGGACAGCTGGGGTGGATCCCACCAGGTTTTGTGCCCCTTCCTGAAGCAGGCTGATGGTGGAGACCTCACACGTGTTCTCAATGCTTGGCTGCACATTCCCTGAAGGTGCTATGGGGTGAGCACTAACTGCTTGTAGCATTCAGCTGTTGAAAAGCCACCTTGGGAACATCCTGGTGTCCAGGGCAGGACAAGGCCTGTGTTGGAGCAGCTGTGACCTCAGGGACTAAGTTTTCCATGCAGGTGCTGGGCAGCACTGCCAGCAGTGCCCTTGGTCCAGGCAGCAAGCCTGCACTGAGCCCCCAAAGCAGGGAGAGGCTCTTCTCCCTTACTCCCTTTGTTCTGCCTCCCAAAGCCACCTGAGGCCCAGCAGAGAGGGATGCACCTCATTCTAGAAGATTAAGCAAAGGGAATGAGAGGGAAGTAAAAAAATTGAAAGTGGCCATTTTATCTTTCAAAGACAAGGAGGTTTGATGTTTATACATAAAGAGTTTGGGAGCATAAATATACACAGGCTCATATATATGTAAAAACCTTTGGCTGATGGAACAATAACAAGGTCAAACAGTAAATATTTATACCTGGAAGCCATCAATCTCATCTGTGCTGTGGCTTCTTGCCAGAAAGACCTTCAGAAGTAGTTTAGCTTGATGGGGAGAGAGGATTGGTGAATTGTTTGGATTTTTTTTCTCCCTACTTTGATATTAATAGAGCATTTACGTTTCCATGAATGAGCTCTTCGCCCTGGTTAAGCCCTCCCCACCCCCAGCAGGACTCATGGAAATGTTGTTTCTCTCCAGTCTGCAAGATCCACACAGATATCTGATGGGGTGGGTTAATGCCTTGAGTGCCACTGTCCTGCTGGGGGACGTTCCAGAAGCTTCTGAGACGTTCTATGGGGGTAACTTCATCAGCCCCACAGAAGAATGGGTGGCACTGAGGGACCACCTTTTCCCCAGCCCTCTCACATCATCCATGCTCTCCATGCTAACAGAGCTGGCAGCAACTCCTGCCCACTGAGGGGATCCCAGATGAACTGCCCCCACCTCCCTGGGGCTCTGAGTTCCTCACAGCCACACTGCTGTGCCCACGTGCAGCTTCAGAGGAGGGAAGAGCTGCCAGTGCCAAAATGTCCCACTGACATTTCCAGCAGGAATGCAACTGCAGGCTTGCACTGCCCTGTGTGTTTCCCAGGTGGTGCAGGCTGCAAAACAGGAGCCCAGACTGAACAGATCATTTTTATGACCCTCAAAGACTTCTAATTCCTGCCTGGGAGACTCTCATCGAGTCAGGGAAGCTTTGGGTCTTGCCAGAAGAAATGAAATACTGGAGTATTGAGGTTCACAGCAAAATGATGTGCCCACTCTGTGCACAGCTGTGGTCATGTACACGTATTTCTATACAGGATCAACTATAAAAATGGAGCCCTTAGATGCTATCACAGCAAGCAGCAAACCCCAGTAAGTGATGCTAGATTAGCTCTGGCCTGGCAAGCACTTAGCAGAAGCCCCCATCAACAGCCTCGTGTTAACTGGGAAGGAAACGTCCCAATTTGAGTTGCTGACAGTTTTATAAAAAAAGAACATTATCTCCTCTGTGATGTCTGCTGGCAGGAGATGTTAAACCACTTATTTATAACTATCTTCCCGAAATGCTTTCCTGCTCGGAAGCCAAGCTAGAAATCCTGTTTGGTTTGTTGTCTTTAACCAAAGGATGCCGGTATTTCTGCTTCCAGCTGGCAGAGAGACTGGGAGCCCACGCCAGGCTTTGGTTGGGAACAGGCTTGGCTTTCAAGGCGTGCTCACACAGACACAGGAGGGTGGCCTTTTATCAGGCAGAGAGCACAGCTTTGGGAGTCAGGAAGAGCAAGGATGAGCCAGCAGACGGGTGTCACGGGTAAGCCAGAGGGGTGGGCAGTGCCCTGGGGAGGGACACGAGTCTCGGCATCGCAGGGAGGGAAGAGACAGGCAGGAGAATCACCCTGACAGTTCAGTGAGACAGATCAGATCACCCACAGCGAGGGAGGAGGCTCAGGTGCTGCCCCAGTTCTGTGTCCAGCACTGCCAAGAGACCCAGCCCTGACACCCTGAGCATCACCCCGTGGCCCTGAGCCCGCGTGGCCCTGGGCAGGCGGCAAAGGCAGCGCTGTGGGGGCTTGGGCTGCTGAGAAGCCGATGGCAAGACCTGACAGTTTATGGAGAGCTCTGCAAAGCAGGCACCAACAGACAGCGAGGCAACACGAGCTAGGATGTGGCTCTCGGGGTGGAAGGGATTTTTGGGAATGCCTAGGTTAGCAGAGGAGGCCACCCCTTCCCCAGGGCCGGCTGAAGTCAATTAAGCTACCGGATCCCATATTTGACGTAATTCTGTTAGTAAACACAACATACTTCTGGTGACCATTTTATTGTGTTTGCTTTGCTTTTTGTGGAGTGGGGTTCCTGTTCTGTCCAATTAGGCCTGAGTGTGACAGCCCCACGGATGTTTTATGAGGTGCACCTCAGCTAGCCCACTTGAGAAAACACCCCCAAAACAACCAGCACAGCCCTTCCCACTGGGGAGCAGAAGGGTGGCAGCAGTGGCAGGGGGGGCACTGCTGGTGGGGAGGGAGCACGAGGCACCCAGGGGTGAGGCTGTGGCAGGGGGGTGGCTGCAGCGGTGCAGGAGGACCCTGCCAGGAGGAACCGGGTGCCCCAGGTGCCAAGGAAGCCAGGATGTCCTCCCTGCCTGGCAGAAGGGCTGGGGACACCGCACCCTCCCTCTGCTCCTCTCTGACGCCCTGTGCAAATGGGGAGAGCTCCTGGGCCTCCCCACCCAGTGGGGAGCCCTTGGGGATGAAAGGCACTGTCAAAATGTCATGGCTTGGGGTGTGGGTGCTGTGAGGGACGACGGGGAGAGAGCTGGTCTCCTTAGCATGAGCCTGGGGGGGGGGCTGATGCCCCTTGCCCGATGCTGCTGGATGGTGTGGGGGTGCTTGTGGACCCACCACACCAGGGGCTGGGCTAAAAATCTCCAAGCTCCTCTCCAAATTGCAGCTGTGGGCAGGGGGAGTGACTGCATTGCTGTTGAGCCAGTGGGATTGGTAAAGGACAGGCAGGACGTGCACCAGTGCCACTCACACTGCAGGACAAAGCGCCCTGGCCTTCCTCGCTCCATCCTGCCGTCTCCATGGATATTCCAGGTGGGAAAAATCCTGTGCCTTGTGCTCAGCCCCGCTCCTGCACAGACAGGAGGGAAACTGAGCCCGGCACAGCGGCTCAAAGCAGCGCTGCAGGCATCACCTTGGGGGTGCTGGGGCTTTGGCCTGGCTGCATGTGCCCAAAAAAGGGAGAAAAAGCCTCTCTCCAAGGCACTGGAGGGCTTTCCCTGCAGGAGTGTGCAGGTGTTGGAGTTGGGTCTTCCCTCAGTGGCTCTGTGGGATGGCACCTGGCTCAGGTGGCTCTGAGGGACAGCAGTTACCACCCTGCTCTTTCCAAGAGCCCCTTCTGCTCTTCTCTCAGGGTGCTGAGGATCCTCAGGTGCACCAGCTCACAGGGGCAGGGAGACTCTTGGGGATCACCTGCCCCCTGTCTCACCCCCACAGGTGGCAGGATGGCCCGTGGTGGGTCCCACAGGGCCCCTGCACCTGAGCAGGTGTGACCCAGCATCGCTGCCACGCTGCTGCACTGGGGCAGGGCTGCACCACGAGCTGCCCTGCCCCAGGCTGTGCTCCCCCCATCAGTGTGCCTTACCTGAGAGGCAGGGGCTTCTCTGCCTAAATCCATGTGTGAGCAGGGAGACACTTCTGAGGACTGCTGAATAGCCAAAGGAAGATGAATGGGAAGCTGGAAGAAGGGGCTGGGACACAGAGGAGATGCCAAGAAGGACAAGCGGATGGGGCCAAGAGAAAGTGATAAACCAGAATGTGAAGTCTGTGGTTTCCAGTCCTGATGCTGAACTCATGCAGCCCCACAGCTACTACGGCTTTGTAAAGCTACTACAGAGGCTTTGTAAAGCTCCTGTCTTGACTCACCCTGAGAAAAATTATTTCTCTGGTAGGAACCACACCACCTGCTAACCTGAATTGCCCCAGGAGTGCAGGATGGCAGACAGACAAGACCTTTCTCACCTGTTGTTGTCTGGAGAGACACTTGGAGGAAACCAGCAGCTGGGTTTGGTGATGAGAGAGAGGAACAAGTCCTGTCCACCACCTACAAGATGCTGCCACCCTCTTCCACCCTTGCAATGGCTCCAGGGACCGCAGCAGTCCCTAGGTTTGCCCCCAGCAGGCACTGGGCGACAAGCTGGCCCATGCCCTGCCTCTCCCTCATGTCCCAGGGCTCCCCTGGTCCCACAGCTGACCAGCTCACCTGCATTCCCAGCCCAGGTGTGTCACCTGGCACAAAATGCCAGGCACTGAAAGGAGCCCAGCCAAGTGACTGACACACCCTGGAGCCCAGGCCACCAGGAGCATCCCCATGCTAGGGCAGTCCATGGCAGAAGAGGAGAGGGTTGGGGTGGCCCAGAGCAGCAGCCCCTGGGGACAGCAGTGAAGTGTGGAATGGCAGTGGCATGAAGACTGTGGGGACCACAGGAGGTGGCAGAGGAGAGATGGAAGCACAGGGTGACTTGGTTCACATGGGGGACAGCAGACTTACGATGTTAGAGGCACAACTTGTTATGATCCCTTTGTGTTGGTTTTTTTTTTTTTAAACTCTCATCACCAGAGGCAAAGTAAACCAAACTAAAGCATATAGGGATTAAATTAAAATCACAGTTTTGTTTACATTATAAAAGAGTGATGTAATAGGAATAATAATAATAATAATAATACGAAATGAACAATAAAAATTAAAACAAAACAAGAAAAGAAGAAAGCCCTGGAGAATTCCTGCTTGGATGATGCTCACTGATGGAAGGTTTGTGTGACTGGTTTTTATTGTTTGGGGATCATTCCCTTGATAGCTGACTCCCGGTTTACGTAGGTGGCCCAGTAGACTAAGTTGAAAATGGCAAAGAGGACTGGAAAGACGATGCGGGACATCTTGTCTACCTTGCTGACGCTGTTGTACGTCTTCTTGCTCTCCGGGAGCTTCTCCTCCAGGCGGGGCATCTTGGGGGGCACGCTGGTGGCAGCAGCGGTGGCAGCAGCACTCTTGGAGATGGTGGGCAGGCCGGGGTCCTTGGCGATGTTGAGGGCGTAGGTGGTGCCAACGATGTTGTAGGTGTTGTTGGTTTTCTTGGCCAGCGCCACCGGCTCTTTTTTCTGGGGAAGGCGGAAAGGGGGAAAAAAAAAAAAAAGGAAAAAACACAACATAATAAAGTGACCGAGAATCGCACGGAGAACATTTTGCCCTCTGAGTTTACCTGCTTGTCCAGGTGAGGAGATGGGAAAAGGTGTGAGGAGCAGGAGACCAGGAAGGCATTGTGGAAGGGAAGGAAGATGTGGTGAGAAGGTGGTCAGAACCCACAACTTGGCTTGAGGGCTGCTGGAGCGTGAGAATGTGCTGGCCTAGGGTGGAGCAGCTAGTCCATGTGAGCCTGGCATGCAGCACGTAGCACAGAGAGGTCGTGGCCTGGCACCAAGGTCCTGCTGGAAGCCAAAGAACTGGAGCCACACAGCTGGGCTCGTGTCTCAGCAGCCCCTGGGATCAGAGCAGTGGTGTAACAAGGTGTGTGCTGCTGCACCTGAGCAGGAGCTGCCCCACTCAGGTGCCTCCAAGGCTGGCTGAGAGCTGCAAGGGCAGTGTAAAGGAATGCGGGCTCAAACTGAGCAGAATCCTTGTTTTCCGTCTCAGCTTTCTCGGCTCAGCCATGGAGAGGTGATGCAGGAACGTACTCTTTAGAAAAGAATGACACCCTGCGTGGTCATCCTGGGGGAAGAACTGGATTTTCTGCTTGGCTGACCTGGCTTCCTGGGTCAGGTGAGAGGAGGAGACAGCACAGACGATTACAGGTTGATTTTTTTTGCCCAGTGGCTTTAAGAATATGCATGACAGCACTGCAATATTTTTGCACCATTTCATACACTGCCTCAGTGCCCTGAGTTCCTCACAGGAACACCTTAGAATTTAACACCATGATGCTCAAAATGCTTCTGGAACTCTTTAGAGCACCTGGGTATGGCTTACCCAGGTAAGATACAGAACAGATGGAAGACATTTGCACAAGCCCTGGGTTTCAGGAATGCTCGACACAGCACTATAGGGCAGAGGGAAGCCTTTCATCTTGCCTTCACACCTAAGTGTTGCTGCAAATCACAGAAGGATGATGGACAGTGCTGGAGACAGTTCAGATGTTAATGAGGATGAATGGACAGGAGGACAGACCCAGGAAGTCATGATAGGTGTTGTCCCCTCTCTGGGGGTCTTCCTGTTGCTGTCAGGGACCTGAGACAGCTGCACTGCAGGCCAAAATGTGTAAAGCAATCCAGGTCTACAAGGAGAAGGCCGCTGAATGAAATCTATTTGTATTCAGGCATCAGGCACCCTACCCATCCCAGCATCGTGCACTCCATGGGTGTCCACTGCAACTGCACCCAGAGCCAGCACTGGACACAGCGACGACTCGTGGGGGACTCTGATGTCTAAACTCAGAACAAGGTGTGCCTTTGGATCTCACTTTCTATTCCAAATCAACTGAAACACAAGGTAGGACTCATCCAGGGATTTTCCAGGGCTGCCTGGCAAGGTCTCTCATGTACCTGTGAGGGAAGCACATCAGGGGAAGGGCAGCGTGTGCAGCCAGCAGGACCTGCCCATCTCCCCACCAGAGCCTGGGAACTGGTGGCAGCAGCATCACCAGGGGCTGGAAAGGCCAGATTCACCCAGCCTGCTCTGCAGAGATACTCCCAGGACTTTAGCTTTCAGTGCTGCACTTCCATTTCAAGTGTGACTACAATCACCATGGATATTTCTGGTTACCTTCAGAAATGAGTTTTCCACAGTGATTTTCAGAGAGACACTAAAAGCAGATTCCTGTGCAATCTTTAAACCCCTCTCCAATAAACACCACAGCTGGACCTGCAGCCTTGTAGTAATGCCAGCAATTACAGAAATTAAACTGCTGCTAGGAGAAGGTCTAAAGATCCTCAGGATCCAGATCAGACTGAACCACTGATCAGACCATATTCATGGTCTTTTATGGGGGAGGTTGTTGTGATCTCCAACAATTAACAGAGTGACTGATTCTCAGTCATTAGAGGCACGTTGACATGTACCCCCTGCACAGTGGGTGAACTTTTCCTGCTGAAGAGCTGACAAGAAGCAAATGAAGGGCTAAAGATGCTTCACCTTCTAAAACATTTAAATACGCTTAAGTATGACTACTTATTAACACAGCTAGAGGAGGTAATAAAATAATTAATAATCAGTAATGAAGTGAAAAACAGATTGTTGTTTGCAGAATGTAATTGGAAGTGCACTGTGATTATCTTCGGATTAATCAGCCATGTTATTCATTAGGGGAATAAGATGAATCCCAGTGACATGACAGTTTCAACCTGGCCAGCTTTTCTGCCCTAGAGTGGATCCATTGTGCCTGGCTAAAGGCATCAGAAAACAGCTGGGTGAAACAGTGAAGTTGGGCAAATCTGAACGCTGTGGGTGGTGACAGCGTGCCATTGCTCCCATTGGTGTGATCCAGAGCCCCTAAGCATCCATTTGGGCTTTTCTGGACCTCAGATCAGGCTGTTCAGGTGGTGCAGGGGCTCAGGAGCCTCCAGCCAGGGCCTGTGGAGAGTCTTCTGCCCTGGGGAGAGCTGGAAGAAGCAGCCAGAACACACACTGCACTGAGGCACACGTGTGCTCTGGATGTGTTCTGCTCCTGACATGACAGAAAAAATGGTTCAGGCTGTTTGCTGGGCTGTGCTTTATAAATAAAGTGTTCCAGGCAAGATTTTGACAATCAAACAAAGCAAAACGTGCTTGTTGCTGTCAGCTGCAGAGTAGCCTCCAGCCTCCACCCTGCACCTTTTATCTGTGAGGAGTCTCTGAAACAGAAGAGTGGATAAACAGAGGGGAAACTCCACATTTGCTTTGAAAACTTGTCCCATTTGAAACATCTATTTTGCAAAGCAGCTCCTGTATTTATGGCCCAGTTTAGGCACAGGGAGACTGAACTGCTGCACAGAGATGTCCCTGTGCTGCTCTCCTCAGGGAAGAGCTGTGAAAGGGGTCTAGAGATGAATCTGTTCCCTGGGTATTAGAGTCTGACAAGTTCTTCAACAACACACATGCTGGAAAAAATTAGTATTTTTGCTAAATATTCTTGTCTTCAAGTCTCTGTTATTAAGGAACTAATGACTGAAGCCCTAAATTATGGGAACTAGTGGTTCTGCCTGTGATCTGCATGAGATTTCATACTCTCCACCTGCTCCTTGGCTAGAAATCTGGGGTTGGAAGCACTGTCCATCTGAACTCTGAAGGTCACCAATATCTGCAGAACTGGAGAAATCCAAGTGGCTGCCACTTGTCCTTCTACAGAAAAGTCCCTTCAGTGACCTCAAAGCAGCTCTAGTCTCTGACATGCTTGTCTCCCATAATTCAAAGCCCAGCCCAGCAAGTGCAGTTGCTGTTCCAGCAAACATGTCACTCCTTCCTCACTCCAGCCAAAGTTCTGCCCTGCAGAGACTTGCTCCTATCATGGAATAGCAGCCAAGTGTTTTACACCAAGGGCCCTGGACCCTGAGCAGAGTGAAAGGCTCTGAGCAGCACAGCCTTGCATGAACCAGCAGGCCAATGCCAAGTTACTGTCACAGCTGCTGGTGCAACTTTTGGCATCACTCATCCCTCCCATATCTTCATTTAGATTATATGGGACTGAGCCCAATGATCTTGTGCTCCCTGGATCACCAGAGAAAGACTCAGAGCTTGGGTGGAGTTAATAATCAGCCCAACATGCCACGCAGTGTTGAGAGAAAGAGGATGAAATGCTGTTGAAGATTGATTCATGGACTGTAGTGAAGGTGCTGAGAACATAAATCACTTGCAGTGCTATCACACGATAAATTAGGTTGGAAAAGACCTCTGAGATCATCATGGGAATCATGGAGGTGATTGCAAGTGCAGCAGAACAAAGGACACACAGGCTGCAGAGCGTGGCCAGCAAGGGAGAGTCCCAGCAAAATCATATTTACCATAGTGAGGCAGCAAAACAAAGAGATGGGTCTGAAAGACTTCAAACTGGTTGAAAACGATGGCTTGTCAGGGTTGCCTCCAGTTCCATTCTGCTGGCAAGGAGAGGGATGTAACAAAGATGCCATAAATGTAAAGAAACAGGGGGAAGGAAGAGTGATTCCCAAGGGACCTGCATCAAGGTGCAAACTGGAGAATTGCTGAAGTCTGGGTTGGACAAAAAGCGAGGCTCTACTCAGTCAGTAGAAAAGGCACCTCATGCAGATGGTGATCATGCCCATCACTTCCAAAATGTAAAAAAGAAAACCATGATAATCATCAACAGAGAGGTTTGGAGGATGCTTTTGGTGATTTTCTCTTAGTGAAAAGACATGTGAAAAGTACATAAAAAGCCTGGATCTAACCTCACCATGCACTACAGAAGTATTGTCTTAAGATAAAAACTAAGATCCAGGATTATTCCTCCATCCAAAGTGTGTTCTTCCTTGTTTCCCTGTGTCTGACTGAAGCTGCTTGTATGTCTTTGTTGGTTTTTTTGCCACCCAGAATTTCAGGGCAATGTCAGACAAGCACAGATACAGAGTGAGACCAGATTTGATGCACAGATGTGGCATAGCAGGCAATACTGGGTTAAAGGAAGTGTCTTCCCAAGATCCAAAGCATCTTCCATCCCAAGGAACAGACAACACCTTTCTGTAGTGAACTTGCTGGTAAATGTCATCCCCGCAGTTTCCCAGTGGCAAACTCATCACTGACTGCTGTCTCTTTGAGTGCTCACTGCCACCCAAAAAGTGACCTTGTTGGCTCCAGAGGTGGTCATCCCTATGGAAGGGATGATGGATGGGCTGGATGGATCTCCCTCTGTTCAGACACAGCCCTTCTGTCCTGAATTGGATCCCTTTAACAAGATATTTTGAGAATGCTGAAGACAGGGAGCTTTGCTGGCCACTGACACCACTCACCTTTCACCATTTCTTTGTCCTCTCACGCATCCCCCCACTACTGCCATCTCACACCTTCCTCCTCATCATGGTTTTTAAAAAATCACCTTTACCAACAAGTTTTCCACGTTGGATCCAGATACCTTTCTCCAGTTTTATCTGCACCTCTAGGTTGGTTGCAGCCAGTTTACCATACAAAAGAAAATAGATCCTTCATCTACAATTAGCAATTACTGGTGGCAGGCAAGAAAGGCTTGGAAAATCTTTGGGTCCAAGAAACATTAGTTAAATCTTACCAGAGTGCATGCTAAAGGGAGGTTTCGGTGACACCTGTAGTGATATTTGCCTGCTTTTCATTAGAGGAGAACTGCAGAGAACGTGCTGAGTCCCTCCCAGCTAAAACCAGACCCCAACTGTGGCTACAAGCCAGAACATCATCATGATTTTATGATGCAGAGACCAGTGATTCACCAAGATCAGCCCACCATGTCAGATTACACCTGCAAAAAACCCATGGTTTTCCCACCTAGACCAGTGGTTGGGCTGAAGGGGAGGAAGAAAAAGAATGGACCCAGCCCTGGGAGAATGAGCAGCCTGGGAGTGTCTGTCAGCAACCAGCAGCTTTTGCATGGCAGTGATTTCTCTCAAATGGGAAGGGAAGCATTACTGCTGCCTACATTGTTGGTTTGTTTGGTTTTTTTTTCATGTTCATGCAAGGGAACAATCAAACCTGGAGTGAGGATCCTTGCCATCACATCAATAAAGAGCACAGCTTTTGGCTGGGGAGAAGGATCTCCAGAGACCAGCCTGGGCTTGTCACTGGTAGTTTTACCCCTGATGCAAACACTTTAAAATGCCAATAGTTATTCTTCTCCCTCCTCTTTCTTTTGTGGCTTCAACCACCTGGCTTGTCAATTGTTTCAAGAAGAGCTAATTAAAGGCTGAATCTGAGCCAACGAGGCACTTCCACCGTGCAGCAAATTCGCTGCTTGGAAATACTCATTGGAATAAAGATGAAAAACAAATAGTTTGACACATCATATTCCTAAGCTCCCTGAAAGCCCATCACTCTTTGGGGAGCTCTGTGAGCTGCAGAGACAGGGAGTGGGTTTGCCTTCTACAGCAGAGATTAGAGTTAGCTTGGAAAAGCATCCACAAATCTGGAGTCCTTACTGATTATCCAGGCTGATGCCGATTGCAGCGAGCTCACAAAGAGCACCCCCTCGGAAGCATTCCTGGTCCTGCTTTGTTTTCTTGTTTGATTACCGTGTGCATAAACATTCTGCATTCTCTTACCCTATTGTTTCAGCACTGTTAGTCTTGCAGTGCTGGGTCAATGAATAAATTGATAAACACGCTTGCTTTTAAGACAAACTGAACTTTTGAGCCTTTGCTGCTTTTTCCGCTGTGCCCAGTTCAGATAATTGCCCAAGGCTCTGTGAATCCTGATTTTGTGCTGATTTGCCCATCCCTGAAAGGGATACAGTTGTTTTCAGGACCTGTTCTGACTCTTCAGTCATGCCAATGACTCAGAAAAGGCTTCTCTCTTCTCTAGAGCCCAGGTTATCATTACTGTTCATGATGGAAGTGGAAGACCATCTCCTGGCCTCCTCTGGAGGCCTTCTGCCATGAGTCTGCTGCTCAGCTGCACAGCTGCACAGCTGCAAAAGCAAACAGATAGAGAATCCAAGAAAGACAAGAGAGAGGCATTCAACACCCAGAGATGGCTCTCTAGATGGCTCTCCGTTCACCTTCTTTGACCTCCATGCCAGGGAGATGACTGGCTGCTGTCTTCCAAAAAGTTACTGCAATTCTGTCAGGTATTTACAGACAGCCCCACAACAATTTCAAACACCACATCAAAATGCGAAGGAGAAAAATATAAAGGCTCCAGAACCAAGAACAAGGACAAAGCTGATTTCCAAATTGATTCAATAAATATAAACAAGGAGCAGCATGCTACAGTAAGCGATTTCTCTGCACAGCCAAGATTAAATCAGTTCAGAGGGAGGGGGGCACGAGCAGGGGTAGCAGTGGCTGTCAGGAAGGAAGCTGCCAGAGAGGCTGATCCCGAGCGAGGAGGGAAAACGTGGGTGATGCCAGGCACTAATTTGCTGCCAGTTGCTGTTTGTGATTGCTTGCTTCCCACCCACCCTCTCTGCCCAAGCAGCAGCTGCTGGCAGCTGTGGGCAACAGCACAAGCATCAGACCTGCCCATTGCTGCACCAGCCAGGGGGACACCGACAGTCAGGGGACACAGCGGATCGGGACCGTCCCCACCGGTGAGCCTGGTGTCCTGTGGCACACCTGGGCTTGTGTGGCATGCTAGCAGTGAGGAATGGGCTTGGAGAGTTGGGCTGGGTTTGGTTTTGGGCTGGAGGGAGAAGCAAAGAGAGACAAGACCACCAGCAGAGCACGCGCAGAACGCTCACACATCCACGTTCCCACTGGCAAACGGCTGTGCAAGGGGACAGAGGGAAGAGCAAGCAGCCATGCCTGGGGGTTCTCTCCAGCTAAGCACAGCTAAGCCCCCTGAGCCCCCCCTCTCCCGACCCTCAAGAAGCGCTGCAGTCAAGCCCTGGGCTGGGAGGGGCAGTGAGTAACATCCAGCCCCCCGAGTGCTGCGGGGCTGCACGTTACCCACTCCTGTCCCCGGCACAGCTCCCTCCTGCAGCGCTTCTTCACCACCCCCTCCCCGCCCCTGGCCTTGGCCACAGGCTGACCTTCATCTCTTGGGCCTCCAGCACCTTCTTGCCGTCCCAAGCCCAGCTGCGCTTGGTGAAGTAGTTGACGGTGGCGAATTCGATCAGCGCAGAAAACACAAAGGCATAACAGACGGCTATGAACCAGTCCATGGCCGTCGCGTACGCCACTTTGGGTAACGAGTTTCTTGCGCTGATGCTTAGTGTGGTCATGGTGAGCACGGTGGTGACACCTGTGGGAGCAGAGCAGGAGACAGGGGACGGGGTGAGACCGTACGCTCGTCCCGCTTGCGCTCGGCTCCCGCGCTGATTTGACACATCCCGTCAAACGAGGAGCCGCCTTCCAGGCCACGTGACCCACGTTCCCCCTGGAATTAAGGGATCTTACCCAGAACTAATCTGTGGTGCGATTCATAGACTAACAGACCAGTCCAGGCTGGCAGGAAGTCACTTTTGTAGAATTACAGAATGACAGAATGGTTTGGCTTGGAGGGACCTTAAAGACCACCCAGTTTCAACCCACCTGCCACAGGCAGGGACACCCTCCACTAGACCAGGTTGCTCAAAGCTCCATCCAGCCTGGCCTTGAACACTTCCAGGGATGGGGCAGCCACAGCTTCTCTGGGCAACAGTCAGTCCAAACCCTGCTCAAATCAGAGCCAACTTCAGGTTTCTCAAGGCTGTCTCCGTTTCGGCTTTTGGCACGATCAATGGCAAACATTTCAACAGGATGAGATGAACCTTTCCCAAACTCCACTGTCTAGACCTCTGCTCACCACAGAAGAGTCTTAGCTCACAGGTAGGCACCTGCACTCAATTCCTTGCCTGCTGGCAGGGTAAGCTGCATGATCCTAGAGCCAGCTCCCTCCATGCAGAATGTGCCATGGAGAAGCCTTTGGCTGCTTTTGCAGTAAAATGGAAACAATAAACTATTGTTGTTATTGCTGGATGGTTGGGAACCTCACAGAGGGTCAAAAACTGGCCACTCATCCAGTATGGCTGTCAAGGTTTTGGAAATGGCATCTTGGGACCTGCATGGATGGACACCTGGGATCCTGGGTCCCACCAGCACAGCCAGCACCTGCCAGTGGCCCAAGCTGCCAGAATAAATGTCCCAATGGGTGACACTTATTAAAAGATGATCGGTTGCAAAATGCCTTTTAAAGCTTTTTTCATTAAGGCAAGCAACCATTGCTATCCATTTTCCCCAATAATGTGTTTTTCAATTAAAAATGCATTAAAAATGTTACAAAAATATTGACTAATTTTCAGTTCCTTTGAGCCATACTCCTGGTAATTTAAGAGTTTCAATTCAATATTGTTGACAATACTTTCCGAGGGGAAAAAAAAAAAAAAAGAAGGAATAAACAATTGAAGTTCTCATTATTTTCTTAATAGGAAAGTAAGGCAATTTGGGAGCAAAGACATTTTTCACAAAGGTAGGTTTTAATTTTTCAGTCAGCTCTTTGCTGCTCAATCTGAGCTGCTGCTGCTTGAGGAAACCCACTGCACTGTAATTCTCAGGGTAACACAGGGGGAATCAAGCCCCCCGTGTCATGAGTGCACAGGTACTCCAGATGCTGATGGAAGAGCCCTCCTGGGACATGGGCAGACACAGGGGCCAGGAGTGGGGTTCAGCTGCGAATGATTCACAGAGGGATAGGTGAGGAAATTTCATCAGTGATTGATAGACCAGCTCTATATGCCTGAGCTGGTCCTATTTTCCACATGATTTCTGTCTGAGCTCCCCCTTTTCCACCCTGTGGGATGGAAACAGCAAACAATGTTTGCTGAGGGGCCAGGCCCCCTCTTCTTCACCATTATCACTGTTCAGTGAAGCTCTTGCAGTCGGGATCTTGCAAAACAGTTTGGCCATACCAACCTAGGTTTGCCCTCCACCCTGGGCATCCCTGTGGGATCTGCCTTACTGGGCAAGGGAAGATAACCCAGTAGCTCGAGAAGCTGGAGTCACCTGTCAATATTAAAGCTTGTTCGTGACTTACATTTCACAATCCCCAGCGAACACAAAAAACATAATGATTCCCTTCTAGTTCATTTAGGAGGGTGCAGAACCACCTGTGATCCTCCCTGCACCTCATTCCAGTCCACAGCAGGGGAACAAGGTCCAGTGGAGAGGCTCCAGACAGGAGGACATCAGCCGTGTTGGGTTTGTGGGAGTATTTCCGTCACGACTTTTGCTACAGAGAAAATGCTTCATGATCTTTGAAATTATTTCTGTCTTACTAAAAAAACACACAAGCAGGTGGTACCGTATGACCCCTCTCTGCTTGGGGACTTTTGTGCAATACAGTCTCTGCTAAGTGGAATCTGCTGGGCAGTGCTGCTTCCAAGAAATACAATCCTGCAGCATCACACCTGCTCTGTGTAGATCCTGAACTAAAGGTCTCAACAGGAAAGCACAAAGCACTTCTGTTATTAAATGTTTGTAAAAGCTATTAATATACGTGCAATGCCAGCCTGACACTTTGCCTTGGAGAGAGGATCTGAAAGCAGCTGAAGGAAAATAATAACACTATATTCACCATGCAGTTACGCTGCCTCAGCCCAGGAACTTGCTCTGTGGAGCTTTGACCAGGGGCACATCAGCAATTTCAAAGGTAGAGCTTTAAATGCCTCCCCATGTACCCATGATCTCCTCAACTCAAAATTCAATACAGATAAGCAGACACAGCCAAATGCATGTAATTAGATGATCAATACCTTGATTACTGTTAATATTTATGCCTTGGTTTCTAGTAGAAACAAGGACAGGAGTGTTTTTGCAGTGACTCAGGGAAAGCAGGGGCACTGGGAAGACACTGAAAGCTATCCTGGGGAATCATCAGCAGCTTCAACGATGCCAGACAAGGCCTGGGGAGACCAGCTCTGATTTAAGTCCATTTCCCTTCATTTGTGGTGCCTTTCTCCCCCCTGCGCTGAGAGGATGCCCCTGCGCTCCCAGACTCACCGAAAACCGTCCGGGCAGGAACTGATTCCCTGTTAAGCCAGAAGGAGACCTGGGACAGGATGACGGTCATAATGCAGGGCAGGTAGGTCTGGATCACAAAGTACCCGATCTTCCTCTTGAGGTGGAAGTGTGTGGTCATGACGACGTACTCCCCTGCAGAGACAGCCAGGCAGAGATGCTGAGCCCCCCCCGCCTTCCAGGACGGGCCCAGCTGCCCACCCCTCCAGCCCTGAGCCACGAGAGGTCTGTCCTGAACCAGCTTCCAAGCTCTTCAATGGAATCCTGTGTTTGCCCCTTCAGAACACTCCTCTGGGGACGTCTTTAATTCCCTGCAGAATGGCTGTGGGATAAAGGCAAATCAGTGCCAACAACTGGGCAATCCAAGGTGTCCCTGGAGGTCTCTCCTGACCCAGGTCCCACCCCTCTCCTGCATCAGCCCAGGGAGCCACGCTGTGGGTAAGATCCCTCAAGCCTGGAGAGATCCTGACAGCGCTTCAGTAGGATTTAAGGACAAAGGATTTTGTTTTCTTCTCCAATCCTGAAAATGTTCCACCTTGCCACACTTAAACTGTCTCAAAAATCAGGACAAATTCTGCTGTTAAAGGTCTGCCCTGTGAACCAAAGAAGCAGCTGTCCCTGTTTTCCCCTCCATGTCCTATTCCTCCCCTCAGAGCTTTGGATATTTTGTTGGATTACTGTGCCTTTCTGTTGTGTGCGTGGCTCTGCTAAATCATTACACACAGGAGCCTTTAGCAGCTTTCTTACCACTTCAGGTTATTCATCTGTACATTTTACTACAACTTAAGTAGAGAGATGGGCCAGATATTATGACATTTAGTTCCCTGGGCTCCCCACATTTCCCCAAGGGAGGTGAAATGAGTTGTTACAGACAGACACTATTAAAATCAAGTGCACCAGAGAGGAAATATCCTCAAATGAGAGAACTACTGGTGCATACAGAAGAAAAAAATAAAAGAAAAAAAGGAAATATGAGAGACACACATGAGATAACAGAAGCCATCAGTACCTGCATTCAGAGGGGAAGGGAGGAGCAGCAGATGGGAGAGAAAGATGATTAATATTGGTCATTAATCAGAAGAAACATTTGTTTGGGGTAATCTTCTATTAGCTATGATAATATTTGTGAAAATCACACTGAACATTATGTTGCTTTCGCCTCCCCTGCCCGCAGTGCTCTCCTGAGGGACTGGAAAGGGATCCAAGACAAATGAACCCACAGCAGCAAGAACCAGCTGGACAATGCAGGGCAAATTTTCCACACAACAGATCCTATTTAGGTGCTTCAGATCAGTTTTCCTGAAGACTATGGATGATAAGGCTCTTTCAGTGGCAAACCCCTTAAAACTAAACTCTTTACTGCCTCTTGGTGACTGCTGTGGATGTCACCAGCCAGTTTCTCCATCAGCACGTGGCTTGGGAAGTGCTGTGCTCCCCGCTGTGCCAAAGCATGGCATTCCAAGCCCATCCTATCTCAGGATGTGCTCAGCCCATGCCCCTCACCACGTGTACCTGTGCTGGACCGCACCATCTCCGTGCCCACGACGTGGCCCAGCAGGTCGTACTGGTTCAGGCGGGACCCACCCTTGGCCACTTCCACTGATTTATCCTTCCCCAGCGTCCAGGTGTAGATCACCTCCGTCTTTGTGTAGGCATCTGCAAGAGGAGGGGGAGGAAGAATGAGGTTTGTGCTTCTGCCTGACCTAAAATATACCAAAAATTAGCCCGTGGCCAAATTAATCTCCGCTGTGCACTTCTCAGAGCCACATGGCTGAGCACAGCCAAGCATGGCCAGAGACCAAGGCAGATCAACAACTGTTAAATCAAATGAGCAGGAGGGAGCTGGGCTTTTCAGGATGGAGCTGCAGAGGAGGCAGAGCACTGTCGTTGAGAGACACGCTGTCCCCTTGACGTGCTGACTCTGCAAGGGCTGGCTCCAAGCAGGGACAAGGCAGGAAGGCATCCAGAGCAGCAGACTGGGGCAGCAGGACAGCCACAGCCCTGCCACGCCAGGGACAGGGACAGGGAATGTCATGCTGGGTAAGAAAGGCTAAATGCAAATGGGGTTAAATTTCAGGTACAGGAGAAAAAGTTTAAAATCTCTACCCTCGCTCAGAAGCAAGTCTCTCTCAGCTTTGGAGGTGGTGTGCTCTCCCACCAAAATGCTTTTTCCCTGCCTGACCCTGTGTTTGTGACCAAACCCCTGCTCTGTCCCCATAGCCAGTCCCTCTCTCAGCAGTGCCAATATGCTTTTGGCTTTGCCAGTCCCATGGATATCCAGAAACTCAGTCTGTCCAGACTCTGTCAGGGGCTCCTTCTCCCATAATGCCCAAACTTCCTGTGCAGGAAGTTCCTGCAACTCTGCACCAGTTTTTAAAGCAAGAACATAGTTCATTAAACCAAGCTTTTAACTAATTTTACCACCAGCTCCTCCTATTAAGACATTGAGGAACTCTTTGACTGCAGACAGGTTGAGCAATGGGTCAGGTCTGCTCCAGAAATGTCTCAGCTCCTGCTTTGTGGAAGATTGTGTCCCGAAACAACCAGATTTCTCTGATCTTTTTAAAACAACCGCTGCTAGCCCTGCACTGCAGGTTTTGGCAAACCTGTCAAATATTAACCAGGAGCCTTGCAAAGTGGGGTGAGTGGTTCTGATGATCAGCCAATGATTCTCAGCATGCCAGTGTGCTGCCCAGGCACTTCTGGTGCAGGCTGGCCCCTCTCATTCCATGTGCAACATTCCGCTTTTCCAACCCTTCCTTCCAGCTCTCAGCATGCTTCTGGAGAGCTCCATCCTCCTCCAGAGCTCTGCACGGCTCTGCCACTGCTCTTTCACCTGACAGGCAACACCTCCTGCTCTGGCAGTCACAGTTCATTTACTGCCACTCCCAACCTGCTAAGGGAACCTACCCCCAGTTTCATTGCCACCCTTCCTAAAAATTCAGGAATGTCTGTAAAAATTCTGTCCTGAAGTTTTGTCTAGAAAATTCAGGTGTCTGCACATCTGGCTGTGTGGGACAGAAGGGTATCTGGTGTCATGCCCTGTAGGCATGGCATGGATGCTTGGAACACCTTTAATGCCACGTATCAGTTTTGGTTCTGCCAATGCCTTGTTGGCAATGCTGTCCAATCCAATCCAAATAAGGACAGCTCTTGGACATTTAGTGGAGCTGGTAACTTCAGCAACATCTTCTGCTACCCTGGGCTCAGACAGCTGCTGTACAAATGTCCTGTGATGGCTTAGGAACAGTTCTTTGTGATGTACATTCATCTTTGAGGGAACATGGTGACCATCACATTCACTGCTCTTGGCCCCAGGAATGATGCAGGTGGGCAGCTGAAGCTCTCTGGAACGCCTGATGCCCTCAATTCTTCTGCAGATTCTCTGCCTTCCCTCCCTGGGGGGCTGCCATGGTGGCACAGGGACAGAAGGCCACTTCTGAGCCATTCAGGTTGTGGGGATCAGTGGAAAGTGGCCTGTCAGGCAAACTCAGCTACCCCTTGAATAACACGTGTCTGCTACTGGCATTGTCCTTCTGCTCACAACTCTAACCCACTTTAGGCTTCTTGAAAATGAAGCTTCCAGCTGTTGGTGGCTTTTTAGTGAAAACACTGCTTTAATCTTCCTCCAGCACAGGAGAGGTGAGCTCAGATGCCGTGCAGATGGTGCTTTAGAAAGAGCCACACTAATGTTAACCAGGGGCAGCTTCCTGAGCTGCTTGTCTTAAAACTCTCATCATTCACAGGCCAAATCAGTAAAAAAAAAAAAAACCAAAACCCAACGGCTGTTCCAGCAGAAATATACACATTAATCTCTTTTCCCCACCAAGAAACATTATAAGCAATTAGATGTGGAGTAATCTGCCTTCCTGCAAGTCTTGTAATAATCCCAGAGTTTAGGCCTGAGGTAGGAGGTTTTATATCCCTCCTCACAAGGTCAATTAACATTAATAATTCATCCTTCTCTAAGGCTTGCTATTTTACTGGCCTCAGTGATGTCTTGTGGCAATGAGTCCTACATTTAATTAGGTGCTGCCTACAAAATAGCCTCATTTTAGTAGTTTTGAATAATCCAGTTTCATGGGTTCAGTTTGTCATGAGGCAGAGGAGCAGATGCACATGATAAATATGATTTCTTCTGCTGTCACTCAAACTTTTTAACTTTGTCCTTAGTTAGCTCCCAAATGGCTACAGGAAAGGAGTATCAGTTTAAGAAAGATTGGATTTTTCTGGAGGTTACTGGTGTGGGCTCATTCTGTACTTGGAGGTGGGCAACTCTTTCATCTACTGCAAATATAGATTGGGAGTGGTGCTCAGCTTGTTGGACCTGGAGAGGCAGGGCTGGACTAGGAAATTTATTCTGACATTGTGGTGAACCAGTGGCTTGGAGTTTGGCTCTCACTCACTTCAGGAACAAAACCAAATGAAATTTAACTCCTGTATGGAGACCAGAAGAAACTTGTTCCAGGGCAGGCTATGGGAATCCCAAGCAGCTGAGCAGCTGCAAGCCTGGGAAGCTGGGAGCAGCTTCCCACTCACCAGCAGCCTGCAAACCTTCCCTAAACCAGAACCCTTGGCTGTTAGGACTGAGCTTTCCAGGGTTTCCAAGCCTTTTACTCGAGAGCCACCTGCCTGACAGACTGAAGGGGTTTGTAAGCTCCACTGGAGCATGGAGCCAGAGTAACCAAGTATTTCAGGGTCTCCCCAGACTGGCAGGAGGGATGTAGGGAAGCTGGACAGGACATCCAGCAGCAGGTACCACTGCTATCTTCCCAAATCTGTCTCCCCAGGACCACCTTGTGATGAAGGAAAAACATATCTCAGATTTAGAATCACAGAATCAGTAAGGTTGGCAAAGACCTCTAAGATCATCGAGTCGACCCATCACTGCCATGAGATGCATGAGATGCCAAGAAAACATTTTTAGTCATTAATTAATGGTAATTATCATTATCAATAATTAATAACACTGTTACTAGAATACTGGGTGACACTAGCCACAGGAAGGACTTCTCTTTACCTCTGCACCAGCTCCTTGCAGAGGCTGACCAGGGTACTTACAGCTCCCGAATTTCAGTGGGCAAGCGTGCACGTCCATCGGGAAGTCCTCGAGGTGCATGGGGCACTCGGCGTGAATGGTGAGCCTGCAAGACAAAGCACAGGGCACTCAGAGACACCCCTGGCCCTTCTGCCACGGCCTGTGTCCTGCATCCAGCAGCAGCAGCAAAGACCTCGCCCTGCTCCCCAACCTCTGCGTCTCCAGGGGCAGAAAGCTGTGGAGAGAACAGCAGGCACACGGACCTGGAAACCTTTTCCGTTGTATAAACTCAAGCCTATTGACCGAGTTCATCTTTACCTGCTCAGTGCAACTGGAAAATCTGCCAAAGGCCAGGACTCCTGTTTGCTTGAGCACTGTGAACAGAGCTCCCTAATGCCTGGGGCCAGGGGACATCTCCTGGACCGTGCTGGACAGCAGAGGGAAAGGGCTGCCAGGGAACAGGCCTGTTCTTCAGGGAGGGCTGCAAGGAGCTCAGGGCTGGCAGACAGCTCAGTCAGGAAGCCACAGCACTACTGGGCTGAGCAAAGTCAGTCAGACCCACGAAGTCACCAGGGTAAACATCTTCCTTTCCACGTGGGGCACCTCATCCCCCCTCACTGGGGGCACTGCAGGGGACGCTGTAGGTAGATGCAGAACTGCATGTCCTGGGGTTGCCTGGGGGTGAGCAGGACAACTTGTGAGCTTCACACATCCAAACCCCCGCAGGATACCTTGTCAGGAAGCAGCTTTGTGAGGGAGGCACAGCCATAAAAGCAGTGTGCTGCAGAATATGGGGCCAGGCATAAAAGGATCCATTATAAAAGGCTCTAAAAAAGGTAGTTCTGAGCTCGTGTTCCTTCCTAAAGTACTGCAAAGTGTGCAGCCTAGGAGGGCGAGACAGAACAAACAGCTTCCCAGGAGATGTCTAATACAATCTTCTCTGAAGGAACCACTTGTAGAGAAAAGGACTCCCTTCTGATGGCTCAGCAAAACAGGAAACAAACCATGACAGCAGCAACATGTGGATGCAAAGGGCAGGAGCACAGACCTAAGGCTGATGGTGGTTGGTGGAAAACTCAGGTCAAGAAGCTTCTATTGAGATATTTTCCTTCACCTAGAAAAATGTTCAGCCAAGTTTATTCTTCACAGAAAATGCTGAGGCTTAGGCAAATGCTAAATAAATCCTGAAAAAATAGAGGCTTTGGATTTTGTTTGCTAAAAGCAAAGAATAAAAAAAAAAATAATAAAAATAAAGGTTATTTCTTTCCAGGGGATGAACCTTAAATGGTTCCACAAAAGAGGACTGTTTTTTAAACATGGAGTAATAAAATCTGGTGGACAAAACCAAACCCTTGACAAATTGTTCTAAAAACACCCTGTGGGGGAAACAAAGCAGGATGGCTGTGGCTGGGGGACAGCAGGGGATGTCACAGACAGTGACCACTGGGTCCTGTGGTCATCTAACAAAGAGGTGATGATGACTGTTCATTGGCCAACTGCAATGAACTTTCTGCTTCTCATTTTGTCACTGTCACTTGTGTCAAGGAAATATTGATGCATTTTCCCTGTCCTCCTCAGCAGTACACGTAAGACACTTCCTTTTTACCTTCCTATTTTTTTTCGTTGACATCATTAATTTCTTTATTATTTCAAAAGGCTCTTTGCTGGGAGTTCCCAAAGTTGGCTTATTCAAAGGACCTCTCCTTTGATCAGTGTTTCCCTTCTGATGGATCCTGAAATCACCCTGAAAAACCAGAAAAGTCTTTCCATCCATCCACTGTACTGTTTGCAAGTCTCAGCTGTGCCCAACAGCCACTGTGAATAAGGCTGAATGGCTCCAAGGACTGCAGGACAAGCTGCCCTTGGTCATACCCTCCTGCCCTCTCCAGGCCATGGCCAAGGAGAACATGTGTTGTCAAGGGAAGGAGACAAATTTATATGGATGATGGATGGCTCCATATGTTCGTGGGAACGCAGCAGTTGCATTTTCAACCTAAAGCCTGTATTATTAGCTGAGCCAGTAAACAGTGAAACAATCAATCCACCAACAAACCACCGAAAAAGCAACCTAATCTGCTACTTCTCCACCTACAACTGAAGGAGTTTTAAAATCTCCTGAAATTAAATACAAAAGGAAAGAAAAAAATCACATCACTCCGGCGAGACGAGCCTGATTCAGCAGCTTCATCCAGGCCAGGAGTCAGCACATTCACGGATAACACACAAAGGGAGTCAGCCTCCCTGCTGAGGGGGGAAGCAATACAGGCATTCCCCCTTCCCAGGTGTTCCCCCTTGGCTTTATCCCCACGTGTGTGGGGTGTGCTGACTCCTGGGATGTTCCCCCTGCGGCCAGAACACATGTGCTGCTGCACCTTCCTGCCCACCCCATCCCTTGGCCACCTTTCCCCTCTGCTCCTGCAGCCTCCCTTGCACACACTCATCTTTCAGAGCCCCAATTAGCAGAGGTATTTAGGTGAGCTGTGGAGAGTGCCCGCAATCCCCTCCTGCTCCCCCCTGCCGGCCTTCCCCCCACCTCCTGTCGCTGGGGAAGGGCTTCTCAGCACCGTATGCTTTGCTTAATGAAACATCAAAATGTCAAACGGCAAGGAATGTGCCTCACTTCCCAGACAATTACCTCTGGCTCTGCAGCATTTAGGTAAAAGAGTTTATTGCAGAAATTCTCGTCTCTGCCCCTTTACCCGCTGCAAGGGAGCTTATGGCCAGACAGCCACCGGGTTTTGCTTCAGTGCTCTGATGGCCCATTCAGGTCCAGACATCTGAGCTCTGAAATGTCCTTAGAAAGCCTAAACAGCGCTAGCCAAGCTGCCAGCAATCACATCATCCAGCAGGTGTATCCTTTGGCTCATCCGTCCTAGGAACCAGCAACAACTTATGCAGAACTGCCTTGAAGTCAAACCCCCAACTCCTCATGTTTCCTCTTCACTTCGCTGGCACAATTGGCACCAAAAGCGGAACATCCAGGACAGAAACCATGTTTTTCCTCTTTAAAGTAACGGGAAGTCCTTTGAACTGCGCAGCACAATGGCAAGGAGCGTGAATCAGGCTAAACACACCTCTCCCCGGGCTGACGGGATAACAAACCACTTCAGCTGCGTTCTCATGGTTACCGGGAGCTTAGCGGAGCCTTTGATGTGTCATTAGAGCCCCTGTCGCTACCTGCGTCGTGCTGCAGGATGAGCCAGAACCTCAGTCCAATTTCTGGGACGCAAATGTAATAATCCCTCGGTGTATGAGCGGTACAAAAACACGACAGCGCCCTGCACGGCAGAACCGGCTTTGTTTGTGCCGGGGACGCTGCTCGAGTTTTGTCCTGATTTCTTCTCCGGGAGATTCATTAATAACCACAGTCGGGCCAAACAGTGTTTACAGTTTAGGCTGTGTGAGAATCTAGGTTAGGTTTAATTGCCGGGATTTGAGCTTGAAAGCCAAATTGCTTCTAGGATCCTCGTGCTGGATCTGAAAGCGCTGAATTCACTTTGCATCCTCCCCCAGCCCTTGGAGATTTCAGCCCATGATGGCAGAAATGCAGTGAGATAAGGTGTTCTCTGAAGATTTCTCCCTCCTGGGACAGCTGCCTTATAAAAGTCTGCCTGCACAAAGCCAAGCCTGGAAAACAGATCACTTCTGTCTTTGGATCCACTCTGGAAGCTGTAAGGCAGGGAAAAGCAAGAGCAGATCTCATCTAGTCTATTTGCCTGTGTTTATCAGTCAGTCTAGCTCTGGTCTGCTTGGATCTGTCTGTGCTGCTGTCTAGGATCAGCCCTGATGTGGGATGCAGCCAAATAGCTGCCAGTCCATACTGGGTTGTCCCAGCTGCTGCTCTTGCAGAGAGGCTGCACCTCCATTGTGTGGAAGGGTGCTTCAAGCAAACCCCCCAGGCAGTAAAGACACCCCAAAGCCTTTGCTGAAAGAGACACTGCAAAGCTCTGTGCCTTCACAAAGCAGCACAGGCAGCTCAACCCCCTGAACATACCACAACAGGCAGAGGACTTGTTACGTGGGGTTCAGCAGCCCCTGTGTGTCTGCAAGTGTTCTTTGCCTCCTGCTCTGCCTCTGACTCACCCCAGGGTTCCCTGACCCTCCTTCCTCAGTGCTCATGCACTGCCACCAAGGACCTTGTGTTGTCTTCAGCAACACAGGCTCTCAAGGCAAAGTCTGTGGACATGCAGCTGAATGTCAGCCTGACAGGTAAAGAAAACATCCTCTAAGTGCCTAACTTGAACATGTATTGTCTGGGAACCACTCTGACAATAACCACAAAGCCTCAACATGCCATTCTGACAGTCCCTGTTAAGAGCAGAGGAGCTTTTTTTAAAGCCTGGATTCACAAAGCTGAATCCCATCAGCACAGCATTAAACTTTCACTATTTTCGTATGCTTCAAGGCCAGGAAAACCCAGAACATTATCTACATGCCCCACACAATTCGAACCAGAGAGTACATCCAGAGACTGCTGCAGCAGCTCAGCTTTTGTCTCTACCTTATGTAAATCCATGCACAATTCCCAGTTTGTTGTGCTCAGGTCTGACACCAGAGCTTTGAGACCCTGGGCTGGGCTTCTGTGAACTACTCACATCTTGTAGGAGCTCCACAAGAAAGACTGCAGAGGCAGGGCTACATCATAAAACTGTGTTCCCCGTGCCCTCTAAGGCAGCTGGAGTAGCAGGAAAGATGCAGAGGGATCAGTAATCCTGGGGAACAGAGAAGTGCAGTTCTGTGCTGTGGTCACACAGGCCATGCTGTCACCCAAGGTGCCAAGGCCTGCCAGTGGTCAGATGTTTGCACTGTGATGTTGAACCAGTCCCTGAGGAGGCTGTGCCACGACTAAAGGAGATCTCAGGGTGCTCAGCTACAGCTGCTGTGTGACTCCTCGAAGCTCAGGTCAGTGATAAAGAGGCTCTCTCCAGGAGCTATAAATACTGTCACACAGGTGTAATTTTGCTGGATGCATGTGACAGAGTTGCTTTTCCACCAGAGCAACTTCATCTATAACTGCAAGCCTTGACTAAGAGAAGTTGGCTTTCACAGCAGGATAAATGACAAGAGACAAGCCTTTAATTGCACATCAGCAGAACTGATCCCTCAAGGATATTGGCTGGCACAAGGCAAGGGAGAGGATATTCTCAGGAGTAGAACTGCATGGCAAGGTACCAGTCTAGACTGAGCCTGCAAGGGACCACCTGGGCAGTCCTGCAGGCCAGTGAAAGTCCAAACTTTCTCCAAGGGTGAAATGCTTGTCATGATTTTACAGAGGAATCAAGGTGTGAGTGGCCAGGAGTGGCAAAGCCAGGCAGGATTTGGTCTCTGAGCCCGAGTCATGGTCCTGGCCCATGCAGTCTGTGCTCTTGCATCTTCCTTTCTGAGCATCTCTGAGTGGGCTCTTCACCTCTTACAAAGCATTAGAGGCATATTTAAGCTGGGCAGGAGCTTACACAAAAGGAGGTCCTTCATTCCCCAATTCTTCAGGATGTAGCTAAAATGAAGGATGTTTCAGTTTTATTTAAAAACCCCTCATGGCTCTGTTTTCTTCCAGAAGCTCATTCCCAAGAGTCTCCTGATCCTGCCATCCTGGCACCTGCCCAGCCCTAAACGGAAACATAAATCCAATACTTTCTTAGTCACACCAAACTTGCTGCAGCAGCTAATGGCTGTTTGCTGCATAAAGAAGAAGTGAAATGATATAAAAGCTCTGAAATTGAGTCCTTTTTTTTTTTTTTGGGCTATTTATGCCAGCAGCTCCTGTGATTCTTCGCAGTCAGACAATGCTACGAACGGGGGGAGTGTTAAGTTGTCTACACTCAGGTCAGAGAGCTGGGAGCAGAATCGAGCCCTTGAGTCAAGCTGGGCTTCTCCCTTCATTTACCCCATCTGCCTTAATGTGAGATCACTGATGTGTGGAGACCTAAACCCCCAGGGCACTGGCAGGATTAGCTCATATTTGAGAACTGCTGCACAAAAGCAGAGCATTGTTTATCAATGTAGGCTGTAAAACTTGCTGACACCACACAGATTCACAGCCAGTCGAAGAGATGAAATTCTGCCTGGTCCTCAAAAACAGAGGTGAAAGTGCATCATCTCAGCACACAGAATCCACAACGAAGCCTGTTACTAGTTAGGATTGGCTTGAAGATGGAGACAGAGAAAACAATTTTTTTAAAAAAAGATTTACACCTTCCCAGAACCAACTCAATACCTCTCTTGTGCAACTCTGAGGAGCTTGGTGTTTCATTTATAAGCCCATTTACCTCGGAAGGCAAATTAGTGCATCAGCCCCAGGGGGCAAACATTATTGACGTGGGTGAACAGCTTACAAGTGTACAGAAATATCTGAATAGTTCTGGAATGAACATACAATTAACCCAAAGGCACTTTCTCTTCGTGCTCACAAACTGCTGTAGCTTAATGATAAATGTTATTATGTTCCTGAGATACCCAGACAGGACTGCTCAAGCACAGTTTCCCAACAGCAACTGGTGTTTCCAGAGGGAAGGCCCCAGTTGCTGGAGCTCACAGTGGGGTTGCCCAGGCTGGGCTCTCGTGCTGCAGGGCTGCCTCTTGTTCAGGAGGGGGTAACATAGGCTGGGTTAACCCTAGAACTTCAAATGGCCCCTAGAACCTGGTTTCTCCAAAGCACAGTTTTTAAGAAGCTGTTGTTTGGGGTTTTTTTTTTTCCTAATGATGTGCGTTGATCACACAGATCTGGATTTCTGATTCAACAAAGAAGGAAAAAACAACCCCATCGTTCTCACAAGCAAACTCAGTCTCATTAGATGTTTGAAATGGCTCTGCTGTAACATGCTGAACAAATTTAGGTCTTTTCTGAAGTTGCTGGAGAATAATAAATTCTCCATCCTACTGTTCCCCTAGCAGCACTGGATACCTGATTCATATCCCATCACAGGTCAGGAACAAAATTATGTCAGCTGGAGCATCAACCTCACAAACTATAGATCCCACCACTTCTACCTCATCACATAAAAACAAAAAAAATCAACATGACCAATGAGGGAAAAAAGCTACCTGTAAAAATGTGCAGAAGTTGAGGATCAGGGATGACCCACAGGTGGGAAACAAGGGCAGCAGAGAAAGCAGCACTGTAAGGCTCAAGTGTGATAACAGGGTTAGTGGGAGTCTGCATAAATCCTGCTGTAATGCACCCTGAGGCCCCATTCTGGCCTGCAGGGACCTGGAATACCCTGGCCAGGAGACACACACCCACCTCATGGTGTACAGCAGAGTGCCGTTGTCCACCAGGCGCAGCAGCTTGTTGGGGGTGGTCATGTTGTGGGCCACAGATTTCTTCCCGTTGTGGAAGAAGGTGTCAGGAGTCCAGATCTTGCTGGCCAGCAGGTTGTTGAGGGGGAGTATTTTCATGGGGCCATCAAACTTCAGCCTTTCATCTCTCCAGGATTGCCGGAAAAAGACATCAATGGTGTATTCCTTCGTGGAGAGAGGAGAGAAAAGTTAAGTCGTGCCTTGCTCAGCTGTTCTTTGCCAACAAGGGGATTCAGGGAGTGGTGAAGTATCTGCAGTCATGGAGCAGGCTGCATTTTGGCACTCCTTGGGTGATGTGAAGTGTGGTACAATAAAAAGCAAGAATTAACAGCAGTGGGGGATAAATGACTTACCTATGATGTCAAAATTTGCATTCCAGTGTTTCTGGCCACTGCAGACAAGCTGCAACACAGACTACAGTGGCCAGTTCTGGGGTAGCCCTCCTGCACCATCACCTTTATCCAGGTGTTTCAGGGGAGGGAGTCCATTGTGTGCAGCCACGTGGGCGTTTTAAAAAGCGAAAATAAAGATCCTGCAGATGGAATTTGGCCATGATGCTGGCAACTGTATCCCTGCTCATAAAAAAATATGATGAAATAAACTTCCATGACATTGTCTTAATGTTATTTTGTTCCCCGGGCCACCTCTAGAAAAGCATTGAATCATGGACTTCACAAACTTGCATTACAAGATCCTATGACTTTCTTTTGTCTTCTTGTTCTGTTTTTTTTTTTTTCCTTCCTTCTTTCAGTTAGTGTAGAAACCCATTTCCTAGACCAAATTCCAGCTGGGGCAATCAGAAGTCATCTCTTTGGAGCAATGCAGCTTCTTGCTCGGTGCCTGCAGCCTCAGAAACCACCTGATCAAGCAGCAAAGTCACTGTGGCTCCATGGCCACCCCGAGGCAAAATCAAATCAGTGCACCCAGTGGTTCCTGTGTCTTTTGAGGGTTCATGTCCTGTGAGGTTCTTGTCTTCAACCCATCAGCATGGGCTGCACCACTGCTGACCTCTACAGCACACACCTCTTGCTGATGAGGGCTTTCAGAAAGAGAAGGGGCCTTCAGAAAGAAGAGCAGCCCCAACTGTTCTTCCCCTGCCGTGTGCAGACTCATAGTCTTTATTTATGTGTCCCTGGAGGCCGCAGGACCAACTAAACTTATCATTGTGAGTGATTTCTTTCCCGCAGCACTTCTCAGCAGCATTTAAAAACTGCTGTGCATCAGTTTCCTACAGGACAGAGAAATTCCTACAGGTTTTTGCAGCAGATGGCAGCTGAATGAAAGCATCTCAGTAAACAAATTCATCCCTGCTCGCCGGCCATGGAGCCACCGCTGCTCAAGTATGAACCTTCTGGAGCCTGGCTGGGGAAAGGGAGAGAGAAGACTGTACATTCCTAAAGGCTCTGCTGTGTACTAGATATTCTGCCCCTTCATGGAAGTGATCTTCACTTTGTGGATTTAAGCTCAGTAAAGGGATAAAACCAAAGGAATGAGCCTGTGTCCCAGGAGGTTTGGGAAAAGTCCTTACCAGGAGAAGATCTCTCCTATTCAGAACGCCTGTTCCTATTAAACAGCAGCAAACAGAGAGGCAAAACATTTTTATCAACTTTCCAGGCCTTGTTTTTCTCCTTTTATGCTAAGGAATCATTCCTGAAGAAAAGAGAAATCATGTTCAGAATCTCCCTATATTTCTTTCCTTAAAAGCATCATTCCCAATTCACCCCTTCCAGAGAGCACACTGTGTTATGCTTTCCTCCTACTTATAGAAGCAACTCAAAACATCAAGACTGAGTCTGTCTTCAGAGTCCATCCATGAAACAAAACACTCCCTTGAACTCCTTTTTTTTTTTTTTTTCCTTTCTATAATTTCCTGGGGACTCGAGGCAAAGCTGCAAGAGCTCAGTGCCGGAGATTCGGGCGCGTGTCAGGTCCTATCAGGCTCTGCTTTCCGAACCGAACTAAAAGCGAGATTGGAAGTCCCTCGGAGCAGCTCAGCGAGAAGGCCTCTACACGTCCTCCTCCACGCTCCACAGCCAGCTGCTCTCCTCCACTCTGCACAGCAGCTTTACCTGCCTCTCCTCCATCATCATAATTACAGTCTCTGTCTGCATCAGGCCGCGCCGGGGCCGCTCTGCGCGGGTGAGTAATGGCTGTGGGAGGGGTGGGAGCGGATCACCAGGCAGATGCCAGCGGGGAAGGAGGGACTTCCCCACTCCCGAGATAAAAGGAAGCACAGCAGAAGAGTAGGCTGTCCCCACGTTTCTCTCCCTCACGTTTCTGGGTGCATTCAGCAGCAGGAGAGCGGGTTAAGGCACATTCGCTATGCGTTTGTAAAATACGTGGAACGAAAGCACTCGAAGGGGGAATAATTTATTATTCCTTAACTGTCTTCCTAATTTTAAATTCATTTTGTCAAATCACATTGCAGAGAATACCTTCCTCCTTTCAATACCTCATATTTCTTCTTCACAGTTCATTATACACACTCCCTTAATCAAATATGCTCCACCTTGGAAGTAATTATCAGATACTCCCCAAGGGCTATGATGGCTGAATATATTATGGGTCTCTGCTGCGGTAGGAAGGCAGGGAAGGAGGGAGGGAGAACTCAAATGAGGTTAATAGTCTCGACTAGGCTGACATCAAGTTAACTTCTTACCCTGGAGGGAGTGGTCTTCCCAAAGCAACACGGGTTTGCAGGATTGAACGAGCACTTCCATGAAACACAGAGCTTTTATTCTGCCCCAGCTCCTCTGCCTGCTAGCACAGGATTGTCTGTGGGACAGCTGAAGAGTTCAGGCCATGTCAGCACAGAAGATTAAACCCTTCCAGCTCCAGAGGTGCCATGAGGATCACAGGATGCTGCTCCAGCCTGGCCTAGCTGGTGAGAGTAAAGCCCGCTCCTCCTCCCAAAGCGGGCTCCCTCCATGGCAAGGACAGCCCCTGCTGGCCTGGGCTATGTCAGCACCAGGTCACCTCAGGTGCTGGATGTGCAGGAGGGTCTCAGTCCTGAATGCAGGGCTTGTCCTCACGTGGCATCCTTGAACTGTGGAGCAACCACCCACAGCCAGCTCTCCTCCCCGCGCCCGGGCGCGTGTGGAACACGAGCTGCAAGAAACGCTGTTGAGAAACCTCACTATTAATTATGCTCCACAGTCCTGTTTTAATTAGAAGACAAACTGTTGTGGGAATACAAGCCTAAATTCAGACCTCAGGCCTTTTCATTAATAATTTCCCCTGAACATGTCAAAATACTGCAATCAGTTCATGCTTTTTCTTTTTTTCTCTTTTGCCTCCTTTCCGGTTCAAGCACTAAGGACAGTTTGACAGTGAATCATTCTCTTCTGGCATCCTCTCCTCTTCCCACGGAGCACCTTCCTTCTTCCACACACAGACAGGTCAGGGAAAGGTGGCTGCAGCAAAGGTGCTTGTCGAGGCAGGTAATGGGGGGAGCGTGCTAAGTACATGTTTAGGTCCCATGGGCAGACCCCACTTCATGAGGTTTGACTTGCAGGAAATAAAAGCACCCTAAAGCTTGCAGTGTGTCTGAGAGGTGCAAAGGCACTGACTCTCTAAGGGTGTGCTACCAAGTGGTTTCCAAAAGCCCAAACACTCCTGAGAAACAATCCCCTTCTACCACTCACACAGAGCTACCACCAGCTGCTGCCGTTTGGGGAAAATCCCACTTGTGTCCAGGTATTCCTGGGACGAGGGTGGGCCCCATCCATGGTGGCTGCAGGAGAAGCCATCCCTCCCCGTGAGGCACCTACCATGTCTGTGTCCGAGACAGGGCCGAAACTCGTCACGTAAATGTCTGTCTTGACTTCGGTTACACTGTCTGGGACAAAAAAAGAAAAAGAAGGGGAAAAAAAAAAAGCAATTAAAGAACTGAATTTTCTTGTGCAGGGAAGGGTTTGGGGTTTGTTCTGTGGTGTTTTTTCCTGCTCTGCTGAACCCTCTGCACCATGCTCTGTGCCCCGAACAACGGCTGATTTTATCACTCATAACCGGGCAAATTCATCTCCAACACAGCTCTGCTGCTTCCCACACTTACACTGAGGATGAATATGTCCCACGTGGCCAGACACTGCGTATTTACAGGATCCATGCGGCTGCACGATCCATAGCTTGGTACAGATCCACACGTTTTCAAGACAGAGGTAAGCCCTGGTGCTTTGAAACTCCTTTTAATGTGAAATCCCCTTTGTGTCTCCCAGCCTGATAAACAGCCTAGCAGTGTTCCACCAGTTTTAGGAAAGGCTGGGTTTGCTACAGCTTCGGGCTTATCTGTATGTAGAGAGAATCAATATTCTGATTGCCTTTTACTGCCACCCTGCTCGCTGTTCCCTTAAGTGCCTCGTTCCCGCCAAGCTGCTGCTCTCACAAGCTCCCCTGCCCCCAGGCTGTGCTGCCCTCGTGGATGCTGGACAGCAGCCTCACTGCCCCAGCAAAGGCACCCAGCCCCACATCCTGCCCCAGCTGCTAACACCCAGGGGCCATTTCAACCACGTGCCTTCAGATAAGGATGATCCGGAGTGCTTTGCAGCAGACAGCCATCAGCACGTGCTGGACAGCACACAGAGCTCCCCTTCCTGACTTCATCTGCTTTGGGCACGTTTCCTAATCGACATCTCTGCCGCTGTCCCGTTTTGCAGGGAAATCAAGGCACGGTGATTTGCCAGATTTACAGCCCTGTGCTCTGCCCGCTGGGTTGTAACTGAAAAAATGATGGATGAGGCGCCCTGAGTTGAGCACTCAGTTATACCATAAATCCTCACCACTTTAGGGATACATCACGCTATTGTATGGCATTAGCTGGCTCAGAGCTGCTCTCCTAATGAAAGAACCAATTTAAAGCCCCAAAGCAGAGTTCATGTTTTATGCACAGTACCCAATTTTGGCCACTGCAGCAGCTTTGCAAGTAGCCTGGATGGCCTATTGCTCAATTAAGTTATGGAAATCCTTCTGTCCCCTGACAATTATTTTGCAGTACTATGAAGCTTAGTTTTGTGCTTCAAAATTTCACATCCCAAAATAAGATAATGCATTCTGACAGGGGTTTCTCCTTAATGGCTAAAATATACATATACATGTCTTTAGTTATTATGGCTGGAGAGCTTCTGATGCAGCCTATGGCTGGTATTATTGTGCTATATAAGTAACCCTTGATCTTGTCTTGATGTGATAAAAAGAAGGTTAAAGAGAAATATGTATGCAGTACACTTCGTGAAACCCCCAGAAGTCTAAACAAAATGAGTTACTTCTGTAACAAACACTCAGGGTACTCTCTGTCTCCCTCCAAACAAGTCCTCAAATGAGATGCACAGCAGAGAACACGCAGTGATGCCAGGCTCCTTCTGCTACCACATGCAGGGAGGGAAAGGTAATGGTGTTCCAGAGAAAGCACAAACTCCCTCTCCCCCCTCCCTTCCTTGGCATTCACCTTTCAGCCACGGCTATCAGACCAGGATCCACCCACGGCCAGTCCCTGTGAAGTGCAGAAGGAACAGGGGTCCCTGTTCAGGTTTCAGGGACAGGGGGCCTGGAAAGGGCCTTTCCAGTGTGCTTTGTTGGGTTCAAGCACAAGGGAAGGGACTCAGTAAGTAAAGGCTTTACATGAGCCTTTATGTCCTTATCAAGCTGTAACTTGTGTGTCACAGAGCTCCAGGGACCCCTTCTTGTTCCCTTCAATCTACTGGCAAATCCAATCAAAAATAGCTGCATTATCGTATTAAAATTAATAATTAATATTAATAATCAATTATGGCCCAGAGCTGAAGAGGATCCCCCATTTCCAGGCTGCAGATGTATTCCCCAGGCCAGGCCACGCAGTGCCTGGTGCAGGGACAAGCTGGGGCTTCACCACTGGCTAAATGATGTCCCTCAGCACACAGGAAAACAAGCTCCCTGCACCTTTCATGGCAACAGCCAGACTGAACTTTCCCTGTTAATATGTGCTCCTAAGGGCAGGATTTGGCTGGGATCCGGAGGGATTTCTGAAATTAAATCATTGCCATGCAAGCAGGGATTTCAGCAGGGCTGGGAAATCCAGAGATAAGTAAAAAACCAGCAGAACAGAGCAAGCTCCAGCCTCACAGATTCACTTCCTTCGTGATCCTGGAGCCCAAGAGCAACTGCACTGCTTGCAGCTCTGCCACAGCTCCCAGGCTCTGTGCTGTGAGACCTCCTCCTCCAGAGCAATCAGGGGCTACTCACCCAGCCTCCCTTCTCCTTGCCCTCACAGCTGTCCACCCAGAGCCTGGGTAAAGAGAAGAAACTGTGCCTACTTTTGCAGCAAGAGAAAGTTGAGAGAAGAGCATCTCCTGCCTCTTCTCAGAGACATGGCAGGGAAATCCTTATCTGGTCCTCAATCCACAGACAAGCTCACACTGCAGCTTTTCTGTCCTCACCAAAGACTTAATAATTAAGGACTACATAGAGGGGTTAGGTGCTTTCACTAGATCTGTTGCAGAATGTTAAACTACATTTTTCCTTTCCTAGCATCATTCTTGCCTGTAATTCAAAGGGGTTTGGATGCACAAGTTATGCCTTCAAGCCTGCTGGGGTGGCAGGAGGATGCTGCTGGTCCTGTTCATAATCAGGGAAACAAAAAAGGAAAGACTTGGTTCAGGAGGGAAGCTGGAGCAGAGCATGGACCAGCCCTGGCTGCCCTAAGCAATGGCACAACACTGCCCTAAAGAGGGCTCAGTGTCACTCTTGGTGGGCTGCACAAACCCCTTTCAGCCACCCTGTTGACCCTCACTGTGCCCCAGGTCCTGCTGGGGACCAGGAAAGCAAAAAGGACCCTGGAGCCGACATGAAACCAGAAGAGCAAGAAATTTTCAGGTTCAACATTTGCACAGGGGCAGAATTTAGAGACACCAGTGGCATGCCATGTTCCCAAGCCATGTGTTTGAGGCTGGTTCCCTGGTCTGGGAGCTTTTCCCATTTATTGGCTCAACTTACTCCCAACCTTCAGCACAATCACGTTTCTAAAGCCATCTGGAGCAAGTGTGTGAGCAGCAACGAGGTGCTGCAGGTCACCCAAAGCTGCCCCTTCTCCCACCAGACAGAGCCTGCTCTCTGCCTGCCCAGCCCTGCTCCTGCCTGGAGAAATCCCCCACAGCTGGGCAGATCTGCAATGCAAATGCAACACAAAACATCCCTTCCCACAGTGTTACCATGGCACTTCCTACACCTGCCTGCTCTTTAAAAGCCACCCCTCTCCTCCAAGAATCTCTTACCCCAGACCTGGCTGCTTGTGTACACACCAGAATTGTCCCTCCCAGCCCTGGGTGGAGGGGCCAGAGCTGGACCCCCAGCTCCAACACCAGCAGGGTCTGGTGCTTCCCCGGGTGTGCAGAAGGTGCAAAGCAGTAGCAGCTGCTGCTGAGGTGCTTCAGGCACTCCATTTACCCTCCCCTCCCCTGTGCCCCCCTCCAACTCCCCGTTTTCCAGGCCCTGGCTCAAGGCAGACACCCCCCCCTTTCCTGCAATCCCCTCTTTAAGCGCTCGTGACTCCCCGGGCCTGCGAGGAGATAGCTGTTATTTACAAAATGACAGAGTGCTATTTTTACTTGCTTCTTGGAAGCACCAGGAGCAGCAGCAGAGCTGGAATACAAATTACGCTGCCTCGCTGCCTCTCCCCTTCCCTGGCCGTAGAGCCGAGCGATTCCGGGAGGTGGTGGGGGGCACAGGGGGGGGCTGAGCAGCCTCTCATTAAACATCCCACCGCGCTCATCAAGGGCTGTTTATCTCACAATGTCAGCCCTAACGTGACTGGCTCGCCAGGTTGTGTTTCAGCTCCGCAGCTTTGGGGGCTGTGCCGAGCTCGGCCCCGTTTCCCAGGCGGGGGTTCCCGGAGGCGCTGCCGCGAGCCAGCCGAGATGATGTGCCTGCAGCCGAGATGATGTGCCTGCAGCCGAGATGATGTGCCTGCAGCCGAGATGATGTGCCTGCAGCCGAGATGATGTGCCTGCAGCCGAGATGATGTGCCTGCAGCCGAGCGCCGGGGGCTCCCGAAGGATGCGTGCCATGGAAACAGGGGCGATGCCGCTGCGGCTCCGTGCAGGGGATTCCGGGCGGATGCGCTGACGTCAGGGAGGATGCACAGCCTCAGCCCGGGAGATAAACGGGATGAGGAGGGGATGGGGGCAGCCCCCAGGCACTGCTCCAGCTCTGCCCCCGGGCTGTGCTGCCATCTGAGGGGGCCTGGAGGGGACAGCCCTGCCTGTAGTGGTGTCTCTGTGAAGGACAGTGCTGTTCAGGCTCTGCTGCCTCAGGGGGTTCAAACCATCAACCTGCTCCAGGCCAACTTCAGGGGGTAGATGTTTCTGCACTGGGCTCCCTATGAAGTGTTCCAGACTCCAGCTAGCCCAATATCCCATCTCCAACTGCTGGCACAACCTGAGGAGGACAGCAACAAGCTGATAGTGCCCCTTAACTCGCTCCAAGACAGCTCTATCTACCCTCAGCTCAATGAGGTCTCCTTATTCAGTGTCCCCTCAAACACACAGAATCCTTTGGGAAGGATTCCCACCAGCCTGTGGTGAGAGCAGTGTCACCCTGAAGAGAGGCATTCCTGTGTCCCTCTTTCCCACATCAGCTAAAACCACACTGGACAGGACAATGCTTTCCAGCCAACTCAGAACCCCTGGGAAGGGAAATAGTTGGTTTGTACTCCCAACTTCCACCTCATGCCTTCTCCCAAATCCTTGCCACGATAATTAATAAGCAGCAGCGGGTAATTTTTGTAGCTGCACACAAAAGCTTTTTGTGGGTTTCATTCTTCGTTTTCTCAGCCTCTCACTGGCGGAATTTAATTTTCCTTCCACTTTTAGCCTCTGGAACAAAAGAGGCTCTTAGGACCTGTGCTACAAGCTTTATTTTATGAGCCCACTGGAACTGAGCTGCAGCACAGCCCCTGGCAGCCCTTAGAGAGGGCACACGACAGTCCCCAGCCAGAAACTCCACCCTCGGGCCCCTCCTCGAGAACTTCAGTGCCATCACACCAGGGCTGCTGCCTTTCCCCACCTTGGTTTATCAGATAGCCTTTTAACCCATGGTGCTGCCTTGTTTTGGGAAGTAAGAACAGAGTGGTGTCCCCTTGCAGGAAGAGATGCATGGAAAAGCAGCGGCACATCTACGGATGATGCGGCACGTGGTCCCCTCTCTGTGACTTTGCCCTTGGGACTGACAGGCCAGATCTGGGAGAGGACAGGGAGGCACAAGGAGGGGCAGCTGCCCACGGGGAGAGGGACCTCTCCCCACAACCTCAAGCTGCAGGAATGGAGACACGACATCTACATCACCAACCACACACCAGAAACCCCTAACGCGGCCTTCACTGCTGCTCTCCTGCTGTGGGGCCAGTCACACTCTCCCACACACATTAGACTTGCTTTTCTTTCAGTATTTTTTGCTGGGGAGCTCAGAAATAGCAGCAGAGAAGGAAACATTTCAGTGAACATCACTGCAGTGCTGTTGATGCCTCCTGGGCTTGTCCAGCCCAGCCAGGGGATAAAGCTGACTCCAAGGACATCAACAAAGCTCCTGCCACACAAAGGCCACAAGGCAGCAGGAGCTATTGCTAATGTCAGGGCCACAAACACCCCTACTGCACCTGGGATGCTTCCACACCAGCTATCCTGGGAACAGAGGCTGTACTTGGGTCAGGGTCTGGGGAACAGAGATGGCAAAACCCCCAAGAATGTACTGGCATTTCCTCCAACCTCTACAAGACAAAGAGCAGAGCTGGAGTGCAGAGGTGTGGGCAGGTCTCAGCACCACCCCTTCTCTCTCCTCAGCTGTTTTTGACTCAGGGATCTTAAACAACCCATGGAGAAGTCACAGTCAACCCCTCCAAACTCCCAGGCCCAAAGAAAACATATGCATTTTCAGAGGTGGTTTGGCTGTTGTAGTGCCTCAGCACCCTTGTATGTGAAATTACTTGCTCAGAAGCAAAAGCCAAATCTCCTGTCACAGACATTCACCCTGGTCTGACAAGCTCAGCCCGGGCATCTTTCCCACAAGTGGACAGCAGAGTGTACATGTTCTTCTTAGGAGAGGCAGCAAGAACATACACAGGGTGTCTTGGTCCTGTCAACGCCAAATGGCAGAGAACAGGGCCAAGAGTGTCACCAGGAGGGCTGGCAGCTGGCCCAGTCCTTCACAGGCCAGGCAGAGCTAACAGCAGCATCAGCTTTAATCCCCTGAACTACCTAAAATATCAAAGCATCTCCAGGAAAACTCACTTGGGCAGAAGCATCGAGACACAGTCGAGACCCCACTGGCCCCATACTGTCTGTGGGGGGAGGGAAATCCCACAGCTGGTTCAGCCCCCCCAGACCTCACTGCCTCTCTCTAATGAGCACAGAGATGAGGATGACCACAGTCCCATGGAGGAAGGCTGGCCTTGGCCTCGTGCTCCCACCTGGGGCAACGTGGTTAAAGATGGTGGGATGCTCATCCACTGCACAGTGGGGTCGGCCAAGGACTGAGCACTGGGAAATTTGTACTCTGCAAAATAAACCACACAGTAAGGGAAGAAACAATACAAATGTCTGAAACAAATGTCTCATCTCAGCAAAAGCAGGGGTGAGTAAGAGCCTGCAGGGGATTGCCAGCAAGACCTTTGGGTCGGATCCTTTTCTAGCTCTGCCGTGTCACGAACTATTTGTCTAATGCAGTTTTCCTTGGCTACTTGCTTGAGTCCAGAATAACTGGGTCTGTGTAACAGGTCTGACCTGCTCTGTTATGCTCCCAGTGACTCCTGCAGGGTTGGGACCAAAAAGGCATCACATTTACAGGGGAAACAAGGCTGTCTGCTGCTCTCCATGGGAGCAGCAAGCCTGTTCCCCCAATCCTGGGGTGCTGAGGCATCTTTTCACCCACTGCTGCTGCTCAAATCCCCTGGAACTGCCAGCATTTGCTGTACAGCCAGTTCCCAAGTTGCTGCTCTGTGAGCCATGGTGATTAATTACTACCTTCTCTCTGGTGTGATGGCACATCAGTGTCTATACAATTGCATGTCCTCCAGCCAGACTAGTGAGAAGTCATCCAATCTGTAAACACACACATGCATGTGGTGTCACTTCCAGCTGTGCTTCTCTCCTTTCTCCCCTCAACTTGGATACTCCAGCACAAGGAGAGGGAGCAGTTCAAAATCATTTCAGGGGCTCTCTCAAGAGACAGCCAAAAACAAAGCCACTCCCACATGAAGAGAGAGATCAGCACGGTCTACAATTACATGTTCTTAATTCTTCAGCGCCGATGAAGTGAGATGATGCCTGTGAAATCCTCAGAAAGACAGCCTGCTGTCCTGGCTCCCTTTCTTAGCAGGGCCACAGCAGAGCTGGAACAATGGAGAGATTTATTCCCTGTCTCACACAGCGTGCTGCAGATGCAGTGCTCTAATATGACTGCATCCAATGTCCTCTGCAGGAACACGGTGCGGCACCGTGAAGTGACCCAGTCACCACTGGGGTAGGGTTGTCTGGGATCTGTGGCACACTGTCATGCTCTGATGGATGTCTAATTCCTAGGCTCAAACTCCTTGGGTTGCATGGGGAAGATCAGCACAGTTCTTGGAAGAGAAATCCCTGAGGATTCTGCTGATGTGCTGTTCATGTGCTCGTGGCTCTGACCCGGGTCTGAGCTCTCCCTACACCTACACAACACGCTGGTTGTGGAGTTTGGATCACTGCTTAAAGCAGAGGAGTCAGACACACCTTGTTCCTCCTTGCTTCCAGCACAGTGCTGGGAGGCACATGAGGCATCTGCTTGTCCCTTCTGGGTGAGAAACTGCCCTCCCTCCCCAGCACTTCCAGGGGAAAACAGCCCAAGGTGGCCCAGTTTTCTTGCTGCTCTGAGCAGGCTGCACTGCCCCTTTGTCTGAAGCCAGGAGGGGTAAGGGGGCTCCAGACAGACCTGGCACGGTGGGTAAATCCACATGTTGCTGGAGAAGGTGCTACAGGGTTTTCACACCCCCCCTTCACTGGTGAAAGGCATTTTCTCACATTTGTCAAGAGTAGGGGGTGCAGGTTAGAGCTCTATCCAGCAGAACAGCCTAGGAGAGATGCTGTTTTACCAGCAGTGGAGCCAACAAACCCTCCTTCCTGCAGACCAGCCTTTCCTCCCTGTCTTTCTGATGCCTAACACCAGTTGATCCCACCTAGTTACCTCTCTCTACTTCGGGTCTTTTTCCACTCAGCTGCATAATTCCACAAATCCTGCAGGGACTTAAAAATCTCTGAGATATCCACCCTTCTGTCAGCCAGCAGGCTCTAAAGCTTATAGAAGACCAAAGGCAGAAAGATGGATCTGACAAGCCTTACACCATCAGGAATTTAGCCAGGGCTCCTTTTACAAGACTCAACAGAAGGATGCATTTGGCACAAGTAGTTTAATTTAGCTTTCCCTCATTGCCCCGTGCAGGCATCCACATGCACGTACTCCTTCTTATCACCACATTAAGTGACACAAAATCCACATCCAGAGGTTAGAAACCAGGATGTGGTGCGAGTTCTTGATATCGAGTCCAGGAGGAATAGAAGAAAGAGTCAGAAGCAGCAAGTGCTGGAGGGTGTGCAGTCATGGAGGCTGTACACATACCCCTCATTCTCACACATCCAGACTACAAACACAGACTACAAATTAGCTGTGCTATTTTTGCTACAGACAGAACTAAGACAGAATGAACAAAGCTGCTGTCGTTGCTATTTTAAGGACTCAGGACACCCTCAGATGCCAGAAAGACAGAGGAGGAATATGTATGTCTGAGCATGCTTTGAGAGGTTCCACAGTGCTTTGAGACCCTGTGGTAATGGAAGAGGGATGCTACATAAACATGCTTGTTATATATTATAAATACAATGAGAAAATGTGTGAATATAAATTAGCATGCATAATTTAACATTATTCAGTATTAAAGCCTGCCCTTGATGGCTCAGCCAGAGGCACTCAGGGAAGGGAATCCCTGCTGGTCCCTGTGGACAGGGGAAGGGC